ATATTAAATATTCTCAAACACCATACATGAAATGGAATAACTGGCAAAAACATCCACATACAAATGAATTTACATGAAGAATTTGTCTAAATCTTATTACACTGCCATCCTAATTTTATGATCATGCAAAAAGTTGAAATCATGAAATTTAGTTTTGCTTTAATCTATAAAATTTTTACTCAGAAACTTTGCCTCCCTCAAAAAAAAATATTAAATATTTTACGCTGAAAAAGTTCCTAAATAATGGTTTCTTCTAAAATGATTTCTGTTTGATTTGAAATGATTTGATTTGATTTGAAATGATTTAAATGATTTGAAATTTAGAAATTTTTGCATATTTTTCTGAAAGAATATCCTTTATAGCCGTGCAAAACTTTTAAAGAGTTCCATAAAAACCATTGAATTTCGCTATTAGTGCCTTAATTAGCAATTTAAATTAAAGATTTTAATCGTATTTTAACAAGAGGTTATGTAATTTAAAGGAGAATTTGGAAAAATTTTTTCGAAAGCGAAATTCATTGAAGCCAAAAGATAAGAAAAAGGTCGTTTAAAATTTTTTTTTTCCATTTATTGACACTAAAAAAAGATATAATCGCATATAATTTTTATCCATAAACTAATGAATAAAAAAATGAAAAAATTTTTCAAATACCAAAAATTTACTTAAAATTGCCGAATCAATTATTTTAGTTATTTAAAATGTTATGTTAGGTTCATTTTTAATGCGCAATTACACAATAATATTGTAAAGTTCATAGAAAATGAGCTGTAAAAATTGCAAAAAGGAAAGGAAAATATTTTTATGTTCATTTTGAAAAATATTACAGCTGTGAAGAAAGCAGCACAGATTCGAGTCTTGTTGGCAGCAAACATGTTTTTAAAATTGAATTCTAGGTGGTGTATTACCGATGTGCTATAACTCTTTATCTATAAGCCTGTGGTTGTGAATGATTAACACCTTGAAAAAACGATTTGAATCAATGGTACCATACCATGATTACTATGCAAGTTTTGCCGAAAAAAAAATTTTTTTTGACAAAAATCTGCATTTTTGGCAAGAAGAGAAAAAATATTCGATAAAGACTGATAAAAAATAAATTAATTTACAAAATTTAGTCCATAATGGAATTCTGATGAAAAAAATAGATGAGATTTCCATAAAAACTTTTCGAAAATTTCTGAAAATTAATTTTATTCCATCAAAAAAATGATAAATCAGATTTCATTAAATGACAAATACTTCCAGTAAGTGGTCGTAATTCCTATTCTCATTTTATTTTTTTATATTTTATTTTATTATTATTGATTTTTTATCCTTTCCAAATAAAGCAATGGTTTATGAAAATTCGATTATAGTGGTGCACAATTCTGGAAATTTCATCTTTTCCTCGGCTATAAAAAAACAACTTTCACAAGTCACATATTTCTTGAAGAAGATGCAAAAATTTTCTTCGGTAAGGGAACAATGTTCTTAAAAGGGAATAAATTAGTAAAAAAGAGATGCAGATATAGTTCCAAGCGGTTCTCTGACAAAAGGATAAACCATTCAACGAAATCAGAAATTTTATGTGATAGTGCAATTATTTGCTGAATTACTGCGTGACTAAAAGACATTGAAAACTCGAGCTGTTAGCGAGCGATTGTTGGGAACAAAATTATTGAACTGTGAAATTGAAATTATTAAAAAAACGTTCCACACTGATAAAACTGCTATTTCCTTGCAAATCCAATTACTTTTTTTCAAAATATAATACTATTATCGAAACAATTTTCATCAGTAGAGAATAAGTTATGCTGATAAGAGTATCAAATTTTATATGATTTCAATATGCTCTTAAATTTTATATAGCTTAAAGCGAAATGATTAGTTTTTAATATTAGTTGTGGAAGAAAATAAGTGAAAGTCACCCAAATTAAAATTTTGACCTTGATTTTAGTGCCACGTAAACGCCATAACCGGGGTCACTTTCACTCTCTTTTGTTTTTACTATTAACTTTTGGAATTCGATTCAATTCAGCGAAGAAAACGAAGTACATCACAAACTTTTACTGACATCCCCATTAAAATTTTCATTAAAAAAACTCGTCTATTGTCCTTGAGAAAAAAATGTTGTTTAATTTTATCCAACAGATGGAATTACGTATGATCCGTTGGAAGAAATCGACAACGGTACATGTAAAATATAAATCGAAGAGATAATCATTGATTTTTCGCATTTTTAATTAAATAAGTTATCAACTGATAAATGCAAAAAAAACGCATTTCGCGATAATTTGAAATTTTAAAATATTTCAAATAAAATTTGATTTGTGAAATTACATTAAATTTTATTAAAATACTTTAAAAAAATAACGAATGAAATTTTTATTTTAACAACCATATTTATTCATTCATAAAATGCAGTGCCTTTTTTTTCAAAATTCTTAATTATCATTTAATTATCTTTAAAATTATCCTATCCTTATCTTTAAAATTTGATGATTAAAAATTAAGTATTTATAAGCAGAATGGCTTAGTGGGTTGCTGCCTCTCACTTCGAACACCGATACAACGACAACAGCAAATTCTACAACAACAGCAAAATCCAGTCTTTACAAAATCCAGATGATGCGGACGAGCTCCTCTATACTTCCATCGCCAAGTGATCATCTACCTTTTGAAATTTGTCAGACCGGACCAGCCAGTAAGCCAAAAAAATATCTTAAAGAAATTTATATTTCATAAGCATTCGTTCAACATAATTTTCTGATACGGAGCAAACTTGTCGCCAAGTATAAAATCCGAATGAATGACTGACTGTTCCTTTAATTCTGAGTGAGTCATTGGCTAAACTAGCCAGTCCAGAAATCCAGAAATTCTGTTGGAATTCACTTCATTCAACACTGACTATATTTATTGAGGCTATTAATAACATTGGAATTGTTGGAATTGAACAAGTAAATAAGTGTAAAATGTATTATGTAATATAATTATTTTACATCAAATTGCATTAAATTTTCATTTCAGCGAAATTTCTTTTTCCCATGAATTTTTTCCCATAGCCTTTCGTTCGTTTTTTTGTAAATTATTATTCCTTTATGCCTATTATTTTAAAGATTCAATCAGTTTTTTTGCTGGTTTTTTCGCTAAATAAAATTTATTTTTTCAATGAATAAAATTTAGCTTAATTTCTTTGAATTAACCTAAAGGAAATTTACGGATATTTCTTATAGAAATGTAAAATGTCAATCATGAATCACATTGATTAATTTAATTTAATTTTCAACGGCAACAGGCATAATGGTGACCTCGAAACATTAAAATGACCAGCAAGGCAAAAAAAGGAAATGAAAATAAAATGATCAGCACGTTCACTTATTCTTAAAATTATTAATTACTTGGTTCTTAATCGGTCGGATAAAAAACTTTTTGTCAACATAGTTCAATTCTTATAGTTTTGCAAAAGCAATAAAAACTTTCGAAAAATTTTGCAAAAAATCTTTGACAATAATCCGTATTGCAATCTGAAAAGTTGTTTTGTAGGAATTCATTAAAAAATTTATGATCTAAAAGTTATTTAATAATGATAATGCAGTACTTCTAATTCTCCAAATAATTCTCGAGCCTCAAAGTCTTATCCTAGTAATCAGTGAAACAAGGCAAGCCAGAATTTGCTACTAGGAAAAGAATACCATCGACTGCAATATTACTGGTGAAATTTGTTTAATTTTTGAATTTAATTCCAAATTTAATTCTAATTTTAAGATAATCCACATAATATTGGAAAGGCTAATACAAACATATAAAAATATGCCTTTTTTATCAGTATTTGTCATCAGCACTACAGATATTGATGATGTCACTAATGATATATTGATAAGAGGAAAGGCCGACCTCGAACAAAGCTCATTGAAAATTTGAAAGTATGAAGTGCATAAGTGTAACATAAATCTGTTTAGAATAAATTTGTGACTTCTTGAATTTAATCGTACTTTTATTTCGCTAAAACAATCCGAACGCATGGCATATAGAAACATGTCGCTAATCTTCCATAACAATGATTTTAAAACGGATTTCTTTTATTCACTGGAATAAATTCGAAATATTTAATTGCTCGAGAAAACCAGCCTTAATTATAAAAATTAGCCCATACAACAGCCCTAAAGGAGGTGAATTTAACAAAATAACAATCATATTCAAAGAAACGAGATTTTAATGAACGCAGAAATATAGATGTTTGTATTTTAACGAGATGCATTAATCTACTTAGCCAACTAACGGCGAATAAAAAACATAATGATATGGTATAAGGGAAAAATCGAGAGATGTGAAGAAAGAGAATTATTGCGGTCAATTTTAGGTGCCTGTCGAATTTGGAAGGTGAGGGACACCATACTCTCAATAATCAGTGAATGATCAGCGAAAATGACACGAATTGTTGTTATAAGAAGAAGAAGCTCAAGGGAAGGCAACCTTCTTTTATCGAAAAAATATAGAAATACTGTGGGCTCCTTACCGATTCGATGATGCTTGTATGTTAGGATTCGCATAATGTCGAACATTTTGTTGCAAAATATCGATATGTATTCGCATTTCTTCTTGCACTGCTGCCATTCGTATTAATGCGCAATGCATTTCGTTTACTGTCTTAAATTATAAGGAAATTTTGTAGCAATTTTCGGACATTTCCAATGGAACAATCAAATTCACCATTTATGAAATTATTTAATCGATATTGTTAACCGTTAAATAATCTTATTCAAACATAAAAGGATAATAATAAAATAAAAATTCGGAAACGAATAATCTTCACGTTTTTAAATGATAAGGGAAAATGACGGCTTTATAGGGATAATAGTCCAGTTGTATCGCTGTCCGCAAGTTATTCCTTACCGTAAAGGTTGGCCAATGGAGTGCATTTCGTAAAGGTCTATTAAGAAGCGGCCAATGGAGCTAAGCAAGTCAGAAGTTTACCGTCAAGAGAAAATAATTTAAGCAATTTTGAACCGACCGTGTTTGTTTAAAATTTGAGAAAAATTTGAAAAATTACTTTGCATAAGTGTCGAATTGATTCATTGCAAGAATCGTTGAAAATGCGAATTTTATTTTTAAGATGTCGAAATCTAAAAAATTCAAAATACTCAATCAAAAAATCTTAGCTATAAATATTGAAAGAAAATTTCTGCTAAAACTGCTAAATTGCTAAAAAGAAGCGAAAATTTTTGCAAATAAAGAAACTTACTGGCGTATAGAATGAATGAACTTTCGCTGATAAATCCGAAGTTTATCATCTTTATCATTTCGTTGAATGCTTTTATGTATATGCCAAGTGTGTTGTAAAACCCGAGCTGCTGCATTTTTATGTTCATTTATTAATCGAGAATCATTCATAAAATTATTTACATTTCGTTGCCCTTGCGATAGATGGATTTTTTTCGATATAACTGCGATTAATATTGAAGAGACAATTGCGCCCTGCAATTAATAAGTGCCACATATTTGCTTAGAAAAAGTGACAAAGCAGACCACCTGGATTTCACTTTTAATATCAAATTTGTTCCTACTAAAGAACGAGGTTATCGAAATCATATTGTTTGTTATCAAATTTGATGGAGATTTACTGGAATCACCAACAAAGACCTAAAAATTTTTGCGTGGAAATTCATATTTTAACAATGATATGATTTTTGAAAAAAATGATCTAAAAGATATAAATTTTCCTAAATCAAAAGTTGCTTCCTTGCTTAAAAAATAACTTACAACAACACCAACAGTTATCGCAACAACCCGTCCACAATGAGTTTGTGGTACTATATCGCCATAGCCATTTAACATAAACGTAATTGCTGCAAATTTATCGCGATATTTATGCCAATTGTTAACCTTTCTCAATATAGAGTTTTTTTAAAACTACATTAATTAACTCTCCCAATAGAATTCGTTTACGACTTGGTAGAAATATTACACAATTAGGAAAATTTGTTGCCGATTTTTGGATAAAGCATTTAATTTAGGGGCCAAAAATACTTTATGCTAATAGAGCCTAGTGAAGCCAAACCCCAAATGGTTGAAAAAGAATTTCATGGGAATTTAATGATGCATTAATAAGCATATAATACAATTTAATTACTGGTATATTGGCCAATTCTTTGGTATCCAATGCCAAAAAAAGTGAAAAATATGAATTTTTAAGAAAGTTAAGCAACAATTGACGAATATAAAATGACATATAACAATAATAATAAAATAACAATATATACAATAAAAGGAAAATGTAAGAAATAAAGCTCTGGTAACTATTACCGTAACTAATTACTAGTGAAGCCAGCGAGATCAAAAATGATGAGCATCCAAAAATTTTAGCGAATGTTGATGAACACAGTAATTCAAACTAGATGAGGTGAAGAAAGATTCTTCATATTTTTAAGTCAATTCTGGCTCATATATTCTTACTCTACAGATTATTGCTTATTATTATTGTTGTCATTGTTGCTTAGAATTAGAAATTGCTGGTACGCATTTGTTTTAAATGATATTGTAGATATATGTACTGTGAAAGCATTAAAATCAAGGTTTCATTAACTCTAACTTTTTTTTGTGAGGATTTACGTAAGTTTTTTGCTGAAAAAAGCAAATATAAATTATAATTAGAATAATATACAATAAAAATATTAAGAAAGCAAATTATTACAAATTATTAAGCAAATTTAAAGAAAAACCAATTAACTAACCAGTGAACCAGACTGCATTTGGATACAAAATTGATGGATCATCTTTTAAACCATATCTAAAAAACATATCTTTCATAGATATCTACTTCTGCTTGATGTCAAAAGTACATTTTACGGGTCCACCAAGCAGATAAAATCGCACATGATTGTATCCACCCTCGCTCAAACACCACCTGTATTAATAATGTTATCAAAGGGCATCTCCTTCGCTGGTTAGGGCGCATTCTCCGTCTCCACACAGGAATTGACGCATATTTCGTTATTTGCTAAGCCTGTAATGGTTGGCGTCAAAAGCGAGATGGGCCAATCAAAACCTGGACCGATACGGTCAAGAAAGATTTTGAACGTATAGGTGGGCCAGCAATATATGGATTTAGACAATGGAAAAAGGAGTGGCTTCTATTACTACTAGCGATGGCATCGAACCGGGTAGCTTGGAGGCATTCTTAATCTTATAGCCAGCGGAGCAAGCTTAACCAGTAATGGTGAGAGCTATTAGGAAAAAAAGAAGAATTTCTGCTTGATATGATATTTATTCGAATGATTAAAATTATTACTTCAAATTTTAATCTTGGCGTTTTCAAAAAATTATGAAGAAGACATGGAAAAAGGTAAAAATTTACCTCTCGCACTGTGCGAATATCCATGCTGTTGTCATCCAAAAAACAAACGTAAATATGGTGAGAAATTTTATTGGATGTTGATCTATAATACTCTTCATAACAAACGAGAAATTTACTTTTATTCGGTTCAATGCAGCTAATGTCCTCGTCGATGCGTCCTAAAATATAAAAATACTTGATTTACTAATTTTAGAAATTAATTAAGTGTATTGTTGTTTGAATTGCATGCTGCTCCAGTTAATAACAGGGATCATTAAATAGTAATAATAATATCTATCAATAAGTCCAAAGAGCTCCTATGGACTAATTGCATTACCAATCTCCAAATGTTCTGAAAAAGTTTTACTAATATCCATAAAGTTAAAACTGTAAATTTCAAAATCTAGTAAAAATTTTCAAAATTTTATTATCACTTATTTTCATCTTTGTTGTTCGGTAATTTACCTGAAACTGTTTGCTACGCAGAACCATGAAACGAGTTATTAAATATGTACGAAATAGCATGAAAAGGGATAAAACTGTATCCAATGGTACTTCCTCGTAAAATATGCTAGTCTCACCACGTCTTCGAGTTGAATGGCTTCCAGATGTTTCAATAAATGTCCATTCAATAGAACCCGTTCCTAAAATGAAAAAAGTAAGAGTAATAAATATAAAAATTCTCAAAGATAAATCGAGTACAGTTCATAAATGAATGAGCTATCCAAAAAGTTGTAAATGGAAATATTTAACAGCTAGTGATGCTGCAGTATTGCTGGAAAAATTCTTATAGAAGGCTATATAAGATTATAGAAGAAATCGGTGAAATGACCTGGAAAAGGACAAACAACACATATTAGGAGTTCCAATAAAATTTGAAAAAATCGTTCACATGAGAACACAGTCCTCCAGTCATCAGCACCGCAATCAAAAACAGCCAACTAAAAAATAAAGTTCACCGTTTGAATGGTCAAAAATCAGGATTATTAAATAAATCCAATAGATGTTCCGGTTACCTGGATTTCGTTCATATGATAATATATGATTTGAGATAGAAGCAAAAGTGTTGAAAAAACCACAAAGGTTCGAATTAGAAGTGAGATCGGATGCACCTATAAATTATTATCTATCGCCTTTAGAACGCCCATGTTATACAATCCTTATGCTTTGGTTTAAATACTTAAAAGTAAAAATCATGGTGAAAGATAGTTTATGTAGAAATACAGCTATTCTACAAACTTAAATCTCCGATGAAGAGATTTCATCACTAAAAATATTTATTACAATTATCTTGTAAATTTCATCACTAAGAGATTGCATTTTGCTCAGCAGATGCAGAATGGGCTAGAATTGTTGCAAGAATCCTTATATGGCTCATGCCATACAATCAACCGCAATCAAAGCAATATTAACTTGGCTCCTTTCATATATAGAAAAATATCGTTCTAAAATCCTCTTCCACAATTTATTTCATTCCATATATACAAACCTTAGAAATTCCGAACACAAATTGACTAGTAAGCTCATTATCAATCACCATTGCGAATATACCGATCATGGCCAACACTAGGCATCTATAATTGATTTCCACTCGCTTTTTAAGCAATTCGGAACGCAGTCGGTAAATAAGTTTAACCGCTGTTTCATTGACGGCCAAACCATAACTAAATTTTAGGACAATTTTTCGTAAAATTTAGCACCTTTATTTCTTTTGCCATAAAGTTTTTGAATTTCACAAACCTACCCGCCATTATATCTCACAGATTTTTCCAAATCTTTCCCAACTGTTCTTGAACATGATTTTATATCCACGGATTTCATAAATTTCTCGGATAACTCGACATTAATCGTTGTCGCCGTAGGATTGACAGAATTTATCAGTGCTGAAAGAGAAATTACCATTAAAAACTTTATATTCCTTATTTAAAAAATATTTATTACAATTATTTTGTAAAATTTCATCACTAATTTATTCGGATAGAGATATACGGATCGGTCAATATCGTAGCCACCTCGATTCTATGTTGTTTATGTAGGCCGACAGATTTACATGCAATATTAATTGCGGGTAAGGACATTTTAGATTTTTGAATTTTATGGAATCTCAACGAAATTTTTTGGCAAGAAATTCGAAGCTCCTCGTTATATGAAAACTTTATACAGTCTCAAATAGACATCGGTTGAGTGGTAAAAAGCAGTAATCTAGTGTAAGGTAGTGCTATGGCGATAAAATGATGGATGCCTGACTTTTCAACGTTTCGATAACGATGATAACTATTCTGTTCCTTCATCTTCGAAAAGGATAACTCAGGCATAAGCACAACAAATTAATGAAATAACCATTGGAATGAATCTCTTCCTCTCTAAATTTCAGAATAAATCTTATAAATCTTGGGAAAATCAACCATTTCCTTGTATTCAATATTTTATCATATGACCTAATGCATTATGTTCCATGACTCTTTTTTATTTATCGGCCTTCCAGCCTACTGATAAGGATTTGCGCTTTTATCACTCAACAAAAGTTTACTTAAAATTGAAATTAATTTTTCAGCATTTCGAATTCCAAGTCAAAAACAATTTTGTTGAGATTTTCTGCAATAATTCCATTAAGAAATTATGTCAATTATGCAATGCCTCCATTGAAAAAGCTCGTCATTCGATGTTTTTTATTTTTATTTGAAAATTTCTACCACTCATAGAATTCTAAATCTTATAAATCTGAAGCATAAATTTGTCATCTTGTTATCTGTCTGTTATCAAAATTTATAACGAATTTCACCTATAAATTTATAGCTAAGTAATTTTTGATGATAGCGAAACCAAAAATGGAAAGAAGAAATCAGATACTAAATGTTGTTTCAGGTTAGTTAAAAGTATGAAATTAGAATTTTGGAAAAATGTTGGTACCATTAGAAATTACCATTAGATAAAGGTCCTCGATTTGCATCGATTCTCGCGTCGTTGTTGTTCCTCTTCACCGAAAGAAGATTTCTAAATTGTTCTCTGCTTCCATCTAAGCGCAAAATATCGGCTTTAACCTAAAATTATACCCTCATACTTTCATTTTACTTATAATATTCATAAGAATTATTTTTAAAGTAAATTAAAAATATATAAAAATTAAAATTTTATTAAATATTTTAAATATTTTATTAATATTTTTTGTAAAAAGTATATTATAAATATATTTAAATATTTTTTATAAAAATTTTAATAGTCTTTATAGGAGCCCTTAATTTTTGCATTTTGATAAATTCAATCAAATGAATAAAATTTTTAGTAAATCTGAATGAACCTTAAGTGCATTATCTGCTAAAATTTCACCAGCAAATTTATTTCAGACTATACATATGTGAAATAGACGAAATAGTTACATTATGTCTTTTATTCTATGTGAGAAAAGTTGAGGTTTTTTTCAGTTAATTTTAAAATATGGCACTTGAACAGAAAGTATGACAATGTGCCTCATTAGTAAAGAATAGAGCCAGCCAAACCAGAAATAATATCAATATCAGAAGAAAATGACGATGATTCAGAAAAATTCAGAAAAATTCTGAATTCAGAAAAATTCTGATTAATTTGCAAAAGAGCGGTATATCATTATTTTTTTCGAACAATATAAATTCTATTTTAATAAAATTACTGATATTTTTACAAATAAGAACTTTTATAAATAACAAATTTGGTGCGTCAGTGGCTCAGTGACAAGATAATTGCCACCGAGAAGCGGGGCTTGGATTCGAATCCGCCAATGCACCACTAGTCGTCGAGAGTGTCGCCTAATAGAAAAAGCAAAGAATAGTTCAGTGGGTTATTTGCTCAACTCGAAGTGCTGTCGCTGCAGTTCTAGTCGACTTTTCCAAAAATCCGGACGATCTTGGCGATTCATTTCTACTTCTATCGCCAAAGGACTCCTTGCCATACTTATCCAAGCCAAAGGTTTCTAACTCATGGTGACTGTTGTTAAAATAAAAGCGAATTTGAAGAATAATTACTAAAATGGAATGGACAATATTTCTTCATAAAATATGGTATTGTTGACTCGTCTTTTAACAAATCTCTGCGCTTCTCTTCAACGATTTTGCATAATTTTTTATTCAACAACTATCAGGAAAAATTTAAGTTTAAACAATTTTCCAAAAGAAAATAATGAACCTTCGAAGTATCAAAATTATTTGACGAATAATAGCGATCAAACAGCCATTTATAATCAATTAATGAAGCGCAATCATTTGAGTTACAATGATATTTTTGAAACATGAAAAAGTCGGCTAAGTTTGCCTTACACCAACTTTAAAATATTACAGTAATACTGGAGATATTTTTAAAAATCGCAACTATTAATTGAGTGGCAATTGAATTTTAAAAGCATCTGACATGGAGCGATGAGACTGGAAAGAAAGAAACCTAGCGACAGTATTTTTGACGGTTGTTATATATTTAATACAGGTCAGATCTTTTTCCCTATATTTATGTGCTCTTCACATTCACATCGCTACATCACCAAAAGTCTAGGGTAAAACAAGAGAAGAATAGCGGAATTGTAATAAAACAATGTTAGAATATGTAAATTCGAAATCTCAGAAAAGAGCCTTATCAGTAGTGATATCGAGAAATTTTATCAACTTTGAGATGAATTAGCCAAAAATAAAGGTAAACTGAACGAGTAATGAAATTTTTTGTTTTTCCATCATAATTTTTATACAAAAAGAATAAAATTATTTAAAAAAAAACAAATATATAAAATTCATCAAATAAATTTGAGTAATTGAATAGACAAATGTTGATTTTTCCGTTCAAAATTCGCCTCCACAATTTCACATAATTCATTTTAAAATATTTTGCAAAAAAATTTGATAATTGTTGGATTATTTTACAATAAATTTTAGTTAAATGTTTTATTCACATTTTTTATTTATATTTTGAATTTAACATTGATGAAAAATACAAAAAATTTGATGAAATTTTCATGAAAATTATAGGAAATAGAAAATACAAAAATTCAAAAATTTAAATGCATGTGGAAACATATTTATGGTGCATAGGATATCTGAAGAGTGGAAGAAGTGCTCACCATCTGTAATTAGACCCACTCCCGTTGGTTTCTCGAACCAAATAAATTTTCTCATGGACTCGGCGATGGAAATATGTTATGGTTTATTCCGCCACTCGTCAAAACGATCACTTCATGTAATCTGTCTAATGAATCGTCATGCTTCACTATGCTTTACTATCTTCATGAAACCTACCAAATTATGTTCTTATCCGCAGAAATGCCACAGATTGCTTACAATATTATAAACTTAAGAACCGTCTATTTCTTGAAGATACCTCTGGAAATCGTTCTTACACACTTACACAAGAATAAAAAATAGATTTATAAAAAATTCTTTGTAAAATTATGTGAAATGCTATTTTTTACGGATTGCTGCAGCAAAAATTGATAAGTGCATGAAAAATCTTTGGAGAGACATATTATATCACCTAAAAAAATATTAAGGAATAGGAAGCGCCATTATAAAGGAAAGTCTTGCGATGCGAATTATGACTGCTAAAGGATAACTTTGCTAAACTTTCCAAATTGCTGATTTAGAAGAAAAGAACGTGATAACGCCTCGTAATTGCATGAAAAAAACGGCAAAAATAGCAAATATTGAATAAATATGAGGGTGAAGAAATGAATTCTGATGAGAAGATATTTGATACAAATTCTATTGAACTATTGCCGTAAAAGGAAAAAGAAGCAATTGAAATTAAGTAAATTCTCATTTAAAAAATAAATTTATTTCGCACGATGATCAATTTTCAGCGATTTACTTAATTTTTTAAACGAGAAAACCTTCCTGATAATTATTAAATGAGACAAAAATGTTGGAACTGTTTGAAATTGGTACCTATAATGGTTGTAAAAATTGGGTATAGAAATATCCCCATAAATGCTTTACAAATTAAGGGTATTAATGTTCTTTCGTGCAGCGGACCCTTTTTTTAGTCTGATTGAGCCTACCGCTTCCTCGCAGATCTCTTCTTCCGCACATATCAAATATATAAAATGGAGCATAGAAGATTTCAATGTGGAAAATCAATGTGATATAAAAATTTCAGCCTGCGATTTCAATTGGTGATAAAGTCATAGATACAGCGAATTCTGCGTTTATCTTCAAAGATGAATGACATTAGTGGTACAGCAGGAAATTTCAGTGAAAATAACGATGAAAGTGATTAATTCAAAAGTAGTTGAGAAGTTTGAACTACGAGAAAATCTCTTCAGAAATTTCTGTAGTATTCTTCTTTCTTCAAGAATGAACAATTTGTCCGTTTCCATGTTTAATATGCATAGAAAATATTCGAAGAAATATTCAGTTTTTATACGAAAAAATGGCAAGGAAATGAAAAATTTAGAAAAAATCTTTTACCTGTGATTTATTTGCATTATTGCTGATTTCGAGATGCGAAAACGAAAAGAACATAGCTAAGAAACATGCGTAAAAGCAAACAGCAATACTTCGTCACTTTGCTTTCACTTATATCTCACAATTATCGCAAGAAATTTCGATTTTACTTTACTTTTGCTATGCACGTTTTCATAGAGGACAATTGCTTAAAACATATAACTGAACTGACGAATTAATTCTTAAATTATGGCTCTTGAAATTTTTTCTACTAATTATTAATTGGTGCCATCATTTTTGGTTAGATTAGCCGCAATTAGGATGAAAAACGAATTCTTTTGGAACATTTTGCATGTTTGATCCACAACATCGCCAGGATTTTTTACATGACCAACAAGTTCCAAAGCTCAACAAATGCAGGAAAATCTAACAGGGGTGCTCCATCCTTCTTCCCCGGGGGTCTCAGCTGCAAGTTTCCTCCCATGAAAAAGTTTTTGCATCCAAGCAAAACAGCATTTGTTCCTCTCGTCTACTTTTAATAGGTGGGGGAGGGGGAATTAATAAAAAATAATAAAATTATTGAAAATAAAAAAATTTAGAATTAAAATTAAAATTAAAATTGCATGCAGTGGCATTTAGATTATTATGAATGTTAACAAATGTCATGCAAAGTTCAATTCCTCGAAATCAGTTAAACTTAAATCCATCCGAATACCTATCTGATTGGAAAGAAAGAATATTCAGCGATGGCTTCGCAAAGACGCATTCGGTGCCACCAACTTTAACTTCGCGAACTTCAGAGTCTAATTTACGAACGAACGTATAATGTTCCAGTAAATTCTACTTGAAACACTAAATTTTTATACGATTAACATATATTTTTAGGAAAAGATAAGAGAAAAAAATGCTCAATTAAATTTACAATAAACTAACAAAGTACCACATCATTATTTCATGGCGAGGAGCCAAGACTTCGACTGATACAGTTAGATACGCATAGGTGATAGATGGACCAGCGATATAGAAGATGGAAAAAGGAATGGCACTGTCGACGATGGTGTCCGATCGAACAGCTTGGAGATGCCTTACTCAGTCAGCGGAGCCAGCCTAACCAGTAATGGTGAGAGTTCTGAGAGTGAGAACATTACGAAGTACCATAAATGCTCATTCATTGTTACTGTATTACTGATACTGCAATAGTTGTCTCCATTATAGTCCATTTTGAACTGGACAAATTTGAGAATTCTCTGAGAAAATGTACGTTCTTCGCCGAAATATTAAACAAACTTCTTTGTAACGCAGCTATTTTATCAAGAAAATTAAGTCGAAAGCAAGTACCATGAATTTGATTCTTTTCCCAGAAGTGAGCCTATAATTGGACATGAAACTTGGCTACCTCTGTTCCATTTCCCAAAGGTAAAGTATAGATTTATGTACCTGAAAATCTTTATCAACTAAAATCAAATTTACTAAAATTATAGCACATCTAAATAAAATGGGGCCGTATATTAGATTATTAGTGACCGAGCCGCATTTATTTACGACCATCAGATTTTTTTTTTTGAAAACATTCGCTGAAATTGTAAATGTTCTGGGGGATCATTCGTTTATCGTTTGACGTCGGTTTCGTGGATTTCTTTCTTTTCCAGAATAAGCCTATTTCCTCTTCTTCAAAATTCGACATCCGTCATCTCTTCGTTTGATTCATTTGATAAATTCAAATCGATGAGTATTTGGCGTAAAGAAATTTCCAATTTATTTATTATCGTTATTAACGAAGATACGAATGAATCGAATGGTTAATTTCCTTTTTATAAATTTATTTTAATTATTTAATTTTAATTATTTAATTTTAATCATTTAATTTTAATTATTTAATTTTAATTATTTTTTTGTTAAAAACAGCTTAATTTAACAACTTTAAATTTGATAATTTAAAAGCTTTTCAATATTTTAATTCATTTAATTTAAAATTAATAAATTTTAATGGTTTTAAATTTTATTAATTCGATTCAGTTCGATTTTTATTTATTTAAAATTTTATAAAATTGCTTATTATTATTATTTTATTATTATTTTTATTATTATTTTTTGATGCTTATTTGGTAGCCAAGTTGCATATTCAGTTGCTTCCGTTTCACCTAATTATTATAACCTGGTCTGCGCTTAATGGAAAAGTATATAATCACGTGTCTGGCCGAATTTGAATTTGATATTATGGTCCGACTTTTATGCGATTATGCGATTTGTCCGACGTGATATCAAACGATATGCAATGTGTATGTATCAAATGAAAGTAAGAATTTAGGCAGTAAAAATTGGAATCGCCCTCGGATTCGAGCGAAAAACATCAGAATTGAAGAAGAAAATTGAATCTATCGATGATCTAGTTATACTCTAATTATCATTTATAATCAAATTATGTTTTAGGCAAGAAGAAATACAACGTCGCATTACTTCGAAAGGGGGGGAAAACTATATTGGCATCAAAATCGTTTTTATGGTCTGAAAAACGGCCACCGGTTAAGGTTTGTTTGATAACAAAAGCAATTTTTTTGGTTTTATTTTGTATTTTTTATTTCTTTTTTTTCTTTTTTTATAATAAAATTTGACAAGAAATTGAAAAATGCAGTCTCTAAGTTGATTTGATTTCAGATTTGTTACGATGAAAACTACCAAATGTTATGCATTGAAGGCAAATGTTATATAGTACGTATACCTTTAAGGTTCATCTTTTAACTGCACATTTGTTACTTTTTTTAACTTTTTAAATATGCGATATCTAAGTATTTAAATCTTCATTGTTTAAATCTTCATTATAATCTTTTTGACATTGTATTTTTCTATAATCGTTATCTCTGTTTTATTTTATATTTTTGGCGATAAAATGTTTTACAAAAAAATTTTGCTTCATATCGTATAGAATTAATTAACAAAATTTTCTCAAAATTTTTTAAAATCTTTCAGGATCGATAGGTTAACGAATGCGCGATTGGCTTGTACTGCTTCAACAAGTTCACCTATCGTTTATAACTCATTTTTTGAGCATGAATCTATAATATTTTCTCAATTAACTGACTTAATTCGCAGTCTAATCAATAAAAAAGTAATTTATTGATTTTTTAAATTTTGTTATTTTACCACAAAAAATATTTTTTTCGTAGTTTTTTGCGAAATAGCTTTTTTTATAAATTTTCGTTTTTACTTGCCAATAAATCAAGTGTAGCTTAAAGAAGATTTTCTCCTAATACCTTTTAAAACCGTTTTTTTTTTACATCGCTTAACATCATTCTTTTATTCCTTATCTTATTCCATATCTTATTTTATTTTACTTTCCAAAAAAAGAATACGAAGCTTTGTAAAGTAATAGATTTTATTCATAGAATTCAAACGCTTCATTAAAAAAACTTCAAAATTTCATCGATTCAAACTGCATATTAAAGAACGCAAGTCCTATTTATATAGCCTTAAACTCTAATGAACAACAAATGTTTCTTAATTTAATTATTAATTGGATGGAAAAAGATGGTTTAAAGAATGTGAATTTACTGAATGCTTTATTGAGACAGCGTATATTCAACGAACCTAAGTATATTTTTAATTTTATTTCAATCTTTTTTAAAATCTTTTTTAAAAAGCCAAGGAACCAGTTTAAACGAAGGCCAATAAATCAAATATATCTTAAAGAAGAATTTTTCCTAATACCTTTTAAAACCGTTTTTTACATCGCCTAACATCGCTCTTTCATTCCATGTTTTATTTTATCGTTTATTTTATCAAAGATTTCCAATCTGTTTTGTGCAGTTTGGTGCCTATTAGCACTCTAATGATGCCTATAGATTTCCTCTGCGAATAATAATTTTGAATATTTCCATAAACGGTAGAAAAATTTCCGATTTCTTTTGGTAAAAAATTGGGCTGCGTCTTTGTTCTTTTTCATTTTTATTGGAAAAGATCTAAATAAAGAACCAACTAACATTATTGCAGTTATTTTCAGTGTCTGTATGAAGCTAATGGACTTTTTGTTTTCGAAAGGTTACATTGATGTGATCATAAATATCATCGAGTCTTTTGCTTTGTTAGATGATAATTTATATGTACATTGCTTGCGTCTTGCAATGTCCAGGTTCGTGCCTCTGTTTGTATTCATTCTCTTTTTCTATTTTTTAATTGATTATGATATTATCAAGGATAACTATGGTATGAAAATTCTCGTATAATTTCTTTAAATGAAAAAAATCTTTCTTTATGGTTTATATAATTGTAATTTAGTGATTTCAAGCGGTCAATTCTGCAAGTGCTGCTTAAAAAATCTTTTACTGGTAGTACCCTTTCAGTTGCATTAAGGAAAAATTTACCTAGTAGTGACGCTATCTCTTTCATTGAAGAATTAATTTTATTGATACAGGATAAAAAATTCACTCTGTGCTTAAATAAGGTTTGTTTTCATCACTTCCTTTTTCTTTCTTTTCTTCAATTTGCTATTCATGCGATGCTTTTCTTTAAAGAAGCAAGAAATATTCTCGCAAAAGTTCAGCCTTATTTATATTAGTTTCTTAATTGGCAGTCGTTTTGCAATGAGGAAGTTTTTTTTCCAAATTAAATATTTATTTGAGTAGAATATGTGACATTATTATTTACTTGGTATTGATTGAAAAAATATGAAGAAATAGGGGTACAAATGAAGCATTTATTAAATAACAACAAAATAATAATCAAAATAATCCGGTTTTTGAGTGTCTCAAATATTTTTTTCAATATTTTTCAAAATTTTTCAAAATTCCCCAAGGAAAGAAAATATTTGAGAGAATCTTATCCTAAATATTTTTTTAAACTGTGCGTATTTCTTTCATTAATTTTCATTTTTCTTCACATTTATTGCTCTTAAATCATTTTTTTTATTAATTTATAGATATTGGAATTGTTATCAGTTTTTATGGATAGTTATTCACAAATATTTATATGGGAAAATAACTACCACGAACGGATTCAAAAGGCATCTCAAACTATCACGGATTTGGTGTGTTTTATTGATGAAGAATCCTTAAAAATACGGCCATAAATAGATTTATTACTTCACTATCATTTATTATTATTTATAGGAAATAAGTGTTTTTAACACAGTATATAATATATAGATTAAATTAGTAGTTAGTACTGAATATTTGTGAATGAAAACATTCTGCTGGCTATCAGGTGAAGAATTTTTTTCCAGATAATGAAGTTAGAAGCATAGATGAGTTTTTTTATTACCACCAGAATTTAATCATGATTGCCTTCAGGGTTAGGCTTAATGCTTTGCAGAATCATATATGAGAATCATCGTGCTTTAAACAGTTTAAGCCTACTAAGAAATTCCTTTTAGAAAATGATTTTTTTTAGACAGATGCGATCGATTTGTTCAACACTCTCCATAATCGAATTATGGAATATAAAAAATCATCGAATAAAATTAGTTATCCACAAAGCGATTATTTTGTGCTTCGAATAACTTTCAATGAAAAGGCGATTTAATTTGATATTTTATTCTGTTGCTTATTACGCCATTCATTGTTGGTTATTGCTATGTTGTTTTGTATTGTTAATTTTTATGCAGTAAAGCACTTATAAATTTGAGATGAATTCACAGTTTGAAGTTTAATAATCTTTGCGATACTTTCATTTTTTTAACGTTATCTTAAATTAATCATATCATTTCATTGTATTATTTTATTTTTCATTATATTATTTATTATGTTATTTCTTAATAATATTATTTATATTATTTCAGCATAAGAAAATGTGCCATACTGATGAGAAAATGAGAAGTAATGAGAAATATCTTTCATGAGTTATCATGGTGATAAATTTTGACGGTGATGGATAATACATGATTTATCAATAAAGTGGTATTTTGTTGACTGATTTGGAAATAAGTGGAAACTGATGCATTGTTGAGTTGAGATCAAGTAGAATGGAGTTTGATTGTGGTTCATATTATCTGTACTATCTAAAAGTGAATTTTTAACGAATTTTTATCTGTGGTATGAAAAAGGTGTAATTGATTTTAAATGGCTTCAAGATACTGAATTTTTCTAGCAAACAGCACCAGTGCTCGCTTCGGTAACAGAGAGGATAAGACGGTTCCAAGGCTCTGAATGTGCTTCTCTTTTCATCGCCTAGATCTGTATATCATTACGTTAATTGTGCTTACAAAATCTCTTCTCTAAATCTCTGTTAGACTTTTAGGCTTTCCACATAGCACCTAATAGATAGCAAGATGTGCTTAAATTCCTGTGGGCGAAATGTCTAAATTAACGCAGTCGATGTTTTATGACAATTTTCTTAATATAAATCACATTGGAATGAATTATTCGAATATATCACTCTGTCCACTTGGCGAATACGTTATATATTTCGAAGATAGAACTTCTTACCAATTCTATCATCAATTGCATCGGCCAAGTCCCTATATAACTAGATTGTGTTTACGGACAGATTCGAACTTTCGAAGGCCATTAAAGATTTAATTAAAGAATTCTTCATTTCTTTGATAAATTCGAACTTTCGAAGGCCATTAAAGAATTAATTAAAGAATTCTTCATTTCTTTGATAAATTTTTTGGAAGAAATTCGCGACCTGGTATCTCATTTGTCCCCAATATGACCTCTGCCTATCAGCTAGCATATTTATTCTGTCTATTGGCCATGATTCAGCTATATCTGACATGTTCTGTGGAATGTAATCCACCCAGTTGATCGAAGAAAATTGAGAAAGAATCAAAAATTGGAATCAGGCAGTAGGCTATGCGAAAAGCTGCATAATCTTTGTGATAGTCTCATGCATAAGAAAAGAGAACATGAGATGAAGATTTCATGCTTCCATATTTTTTAACTAAATGAGAGAATATATAATTCGAACAATTGGCCCTCATCATCTGTCATAGGTCCATATCCTAGGAGGTCCATAAAGGTCGTATGAGCATGGACTTCTATTTTGTATTGCACAGATTGCATTCGTATGATAATATAGTCCACACGTATTTATTTTAAGAACACCAAAATTCATTTTTAGGATTGTATTTCGATTTTTTTATGCCTTTACTCTTTGAATATTTGTTGTTATTTCAATTTTTTGATATATATATTTTATTTTTTTGATACCGGTTGATTTGTTAGATGATTTATAGGAAATATAGATGAGTCAGTATTGATAAATTCTATCAGCTGATTAATCGTTAAATTATTTTTTTCACACTGTATTTTTTATTAAATTTTTTATTTTGTTCAAAGGGGAAATCATTGCTATCTTTAAAATGTTAATGGTAATAATTTTGGTTGAACTTTTTGTATCGAAGTTTTTTTTAGTATTGCTTAGAGTATTGCTTATCACTAATTAGCTCCAAAAGTGCATATATACTTCTATATATGTTTATTTAGATAGGCAAATCGATAAAATCCAGGTTACTGCTAGGGACCACATCTATTCTTAAAAATGACCCGTCTAGTGGTAAGGTCAAATAAATGGAATCCAAGTCAGAACATAGAAGAGGAATTGCATGTAGGATTCGCAGTCTTTTTTTATCATGTATAAATATCGCATAACGGGTTTTGCCAGCTTCCAAAAAGCTAGAGTTCAAATTTCTTTAAGATTTTGGAAACTTATTCTCTATCATTAATCTCTTTGACACCTGATATCTTAGCTATTCGTAAAAAGTTAAAATTGTTTGCGTACGTTTCAAATATTCATTGTGTTTCATACATCATTGTGAGAGCGAATGGTTTTTATCATTTTTTGTTGATGCTATGATGTATATTTATCATTTTCAGATATCATTTTCGGTTTATTAAGCAGTGATAATGCAGTTATAGTGAATCAATTGTATGGAAATTGATAACGATTACTTGAATGTTTTTAAGCATATTCCATTTGTTATTTTTCATTACACATTTGAATGGGTTTAATGTTCAATATTTATGGTTTTATCATATTATACTATAGTTTGATTTCTTCATTGGCTTTCGATTCGAATTCTATCGGAAAACTATTTTCAAAAGTATGATTTGGAAATTCTTTTAAAATCGCAGATTATAGTATTGCTAATTAAACGTGGATTGCTAGCCGTCTTGATTTCGAATCCTTGTCCCTTAGGCAAAGAAAATCTGTATTTTGGAAGACAGAAATTAAACATATGTTGTCTGCTCCTAGGCAGAACAATATACTGTTTCTATCTGAAAATAATGAAATTCATGCTACTACTTTTTCTCTCTTAGGCGAAATCGATGTTCTATTTTATAAGAATCAACCACTGATTCTCATCTAATTGTAATTATTTTATTTTTTAATTATTTATTATAATAATTATTTTTTGATTGATACTGCTCAATTACGAAAATGGGTATTTTAGAGATTTTATTCGTTAATTTTTTTAAAAATCAGTATTCTATTCATTCTACTTGTTCCACTTCAACAGTGGAACGAATTTCTTCTGGTTTTTTCGCTTTTTTATGTTTTATGTATATTAAATCGTTATTTCTCTTCACTCCTGTCTTTGCTTATCAAGCTGAATATTTCAGATAGAACAAACAAATCATCTCTCTTCGCCAAATATACGAGATCAGTGCAGTGGGGTCTGCAAGGAACATGAAAACTGTGTAGTTTGTTCTTTGAATGTTTCCACGTTTTTTGAATTCTGCCATTTTTTTATCAATTTATTTAGAAAGAAACATTTATTTTGAAAGATGGTCAATAATAATTATTTAAACCAAGATCAGGTCTTCATTGAGGTCACGAGTTCGATTCTTGTCGTTTCACAAAAGTATATCTCATCAAAAACAAAATCTGCGAGAATCTCATCCTTATAACCAGTGGAGTTAGCCAGCACTGATGGATATTGCTAAAAAAAGCCCTTTCGAACCTTTGTATAGAATTTCGTTATAATCATAGTCTTACAGGTTGGTGTAAAAGGTTTAAATTGCATCTGCTCTGAAGGTTTTATCAGGTCTAAAAGTGGTGATTGCATCTTGCTCAGCAAAACTGCTGAAGAAAACGTTGTGCCTTCTCAGCCGTCATTTAATTTTTCGATTGAGGGGCCATCAGTCGTTCAGTTGCCTCAAAATTCAGTTCTGTTGAAAGTTGTTTTTAATGGTACTCAGAGTATGTTTTTTCATCTGTTTTCGTCAAAGATTATTAACAGAATAATCTCTTTATTTTTTTTACTTTCTTGTATAACAATTATATTCGAATTGATCAAAAATTTTGCTGCTTGATTTGTATTTTTAATATCTTTTTTTAGCTTGCATCAATTGTACTTTTTATTGGGAAGTATTGGAAGGTGTAGGCTTCGCTACCTCTGACACTTATACGAAACCTGTATTAAAGCTTGTAGATGTTAGTTTTTGTTTGTTTGAGTTGATATACTACTGTATATACTTCTGTTCGGGCGTTCTGTTCTATTCTATTCCACTAAAAATTTATTATTTTGTCAAAAAAACTTGTAAAATTGATGGTTTAATTAAAACGTTTCGTTGTACTTTTTTTATTTGTTTTAAAATTTAGCTCAGAGAAGGCACTATACGTCTACGAATAACGCTAAAAAATGGAACTTTGGTTGCATTTCGAGATACTTTATTGAAAATTTTGCCGAAAAAACAGGGAAATAAAGCACCTATTGCTGTTATACGTCCAACCAGTCCAATAGTAGCTACAGAAGGCACAGAAGTTGTACTGGATGCTGAAGGCTTGTTATTGTTTATTAAATACCTGAAATAAACCTTAAAAAATTATTTAAAGGATATTTTATAGGAAGTTCTGATGACAGTGGAGAGCTTGAATTTGAGTGGAAAATGTTAAATGGCCCGGCTGTCCTTTTGCCTGCTATGAATACTGCGATAATGCGACTTGATGGCTTACTTATAGGGAATTATACATTTCAGTATGTTTTATCAGGGTTTTTCCTGAATTCAGGGAAATTTTATATTCATTGCGAAGAAAAGGCGATATAGTTTTATTCTCATTAACTAGTAATTTATGAAAAATTTTTATGAATTATATTAATATTAATATTATAGTATTAATATTATACAGATATACAACACTTCGTATGAGGAAACTAATAGCCTTTAGAATGTTTTCCTTCGTAATTTTGAATATGATCTGAAAATTTGAAAATCTTTAAATCTTTAATTATTTAAATCTCGCGTTAAATCTTTCCAGATTGACTGTTAGGGATAAGGAAGGTGCTACAAGCAATCAAAATGTGGATGTCATCGTTAATCCTAGTCAGTTATTTTAATGTATACTTATCTAAATGGTTCCATATTTATTCCATGTAATGAAACTTTCAAATCGCTATTTCAAGCCAACTTCAGAAAGGGATGATCCTCCTAAAGCTCATATTAACGAATGCGGTGATTCTTCCCCTATTTCAACCATTGATGTTCGCCTACCTCGTGAAACTCTTTTGTTATGTGCCAACCAATCAACTGATGATTATGTTAGTAGACTAGATATTTAATATTTTTTGCTGATTTTATCTTCAATTTGGCAATAAAGTTAGAAACGTCGCTATTGCTTTATTCCCTTTCTTTCGTTTCATATTTTTTCTTATAAACATCGTGCAAGTGTCGACAGCTGTTAATATAGACTGCATCCAAAACAAATTTATATTTTTGCATTTGCGCAGGGTATAGAGTCTTACAATTGGTTCAGAGTGGATAATTTTACTTCGCAGCTGTCATTGGATTATTCAGGTATATTTTCTTATAAGTTTATATTTTAGATTATTTTTTAAAAATAGTTATTGGTATGAACAAATTATTTGCCAGAATCAAATTTTCTTTTCATATGTCAGCTTACAATATCAAATTATTGGTGATTTTTATAGGCTCAACAACATCTGTATTGGCTATAACGAATTTGCAAACGAATGAAAAATTCGGTCCTTACGTTTTTCGTCTTGAAGTTAAAGATAAAAGTGGTAATAAAGATTCAACGAATGTGAGTATTCTTGTAAACAAAGCCGTCAATCAGAAACCACGTAAGTTACAAATTTCACCAAATTTCACTGTTAATAATTCCATATGGGGAGAGAAGTGCGAATGAATTTCAAACGTCCTTGGATTTTCTTTCAGAGATTTACGGCACGCGTTTGTATTAATCGCTTTTCAGGTCCAGATGCTGGTGGAAACCAAACTATAGAATTACCACAGAATTCTATTGTATTGAACGGAAATGTAAAAGATGATGGCGAAATATCGAGTTACATGTGGTATCAAATTAGGTATAAATATTTCCTATTAATTTTATTTTAGTTTAGCGACTTTTTAAAATGGAGAAACTCTTCGATATTTCATGTTTAAGTTTTCACTTTGACGTTTCAGTGGTCCGAGTGAAGCAATCTTTGTTAATCGTGATAAATCGAAGTGCACTGTAAGTGGATTGATAGAAGGATTATACCAATTTCGTTTCAATGTTACAGATGATGGTGGTCTTTCAGCTGTAGATGACACATTCGTTGCGGTCATTCGAAGTATTTCTCATATTTTCTTATATTTCTTTGTAATTTCAAAGAAAAGAAAAAGAAATTTCTGTTAAGAACACGGTTTTTAAGTTGCCTTTTTTCTTCCGAATAACATTCTTCTTTCGTCTACTTCAAATATTGCTTGCGATGTTATTAAAATGACATAGATAAGATATTCATTTTAAATTTGGAATTGTTAATTTGTAGTAAAGTGAAATTTGGATTTGTTTTTTGCAGGTAAAAATGAACCACCTGTTGCTAAAGCTTCCAATATTACAGTAACTTTGCCGGCTAATCTAGCAATATTGAACGGTAGTTCTTCATTCGATGATGCTGGCATTGTTCGTTATTTGTGGATCCCAAACGATGACGTTCCAGCATGCATTGTTAGTTTTATTTAATTAATTGACATAGAAGGGAGCAAAATATTCTTTTTTTACTCCTCATTTTCTATTTATTTACACTCAAAATCACATAGCTTGGATATTTTTTTAAAGTAATAAATATTTGTAATGGTTATTTGGTTATTTTTTTAAAGTAATGAATTTAGATTTTATTTTCGGCAGTTATTTTTCCGGGGCACTCTTTTTTATTAATTTATTTATAAATATACTTATTGCTTTCTATTTGGCAATTAGTCTGCTTAGAATTGATGTACAAGGACATTTATATTATATTGCGTGCTTGGCTGGTTTCGGTCGATTATTATTTATTTTTAATAAATATATGTAATGTTTAGACATTCCTTGGCGATTCTGTATCAAATCCTATTGCATATTTACATGGAATTGTACCAGGTGTATTCTTATTCACTTTGAAAGTTTGGGATCAATCAGAAGAGCAGAATTCTACTGTGGTTTCTTTGACGGTGCTTCAAGGTATGATTTAATTGAAATCCGTTCTATATTTTTTGAAAAAAATGTTTTTTTAATTGTCAAAATTTTCATCTTCATATTTTTTTGAATTATCTAGTACCCTTTAACCTACATTTAGAATGAAATAAATTTCAAATAAATTTTCAGGAGATGAACATTTAAATTCTGTCGAAATGTTCATAAATCAGGCAATTTTTGATATGACTTATCGTCTACGAACAAAATTAGAAAAGAGTCTCAGTGCTGCATTAGTCACGAAGGTTTTTGTCCTTTTTCCATAGTTAAATAATTGTTATTTCGTTCTGATTTTATTTTGTTTTATTTCATTTCATTTGAAAGATTTTTCCCACAATTCGGAAATGAATGATTTTTACTATCATTTTTAAGCTTGATGAGGCAGATTCAGTTACTATTCATTTCGAGGAATTTGCTCAAAATCCAGTCACTGGTTATCTTCGTATTATTTTTTTTGCAAAATTCACCAACAAATCAATTTCGAGTTAATTCTTTTACTCTTTGCTTTTAAATATTTTTAGTAAGCTTGGCAAAAATCTTAAATATTCTTATTCAAAATTTGAGATGGGATCGCTTTTCAATTTTTAAATCGCTGTTTTCTTCGTATAATTATTAGTTAGATTATTAAAATTATTAAGATCTACGATTTTAATAATAGGCAACTGTAAAATTATTTTTATTATATAAAGTTTTTCATGAAATTGACAGGGACCAATGCTCTTGAAAACAGTGATGAAGTGATCAAAACTTCTGTATGGAATACTGTTAGTGCAAACAAAGCCGTTGAATTCTTGCGTGCGGAAAGCAATATGATCAGCGAATTTCAAATTGTCTCTATCAACACTCTATGCAAGTTTATGCTTTTTTGTGCATCAGAATATAAAAGAATATATTATTAAATTGATGATAGAATAAATTTAATTATTAGATTTATATTAGAAATATTTGAAATAATTATTGAATAAATATTATGTTCAATTCCTATTAGTCCCGTTAAAATTAAATTTATAATGCTGGAATTCCGTAATTTTTTTATAAAAGAATGAGAGTTTCTACGCGAATTTTGGAGAATCACAGAAATTTGATTAAACTTAACTTTTCAGATTGCTTTCTTGATTGTTCTGGCCACGGAGTATGCAGTAATTTTACAAAAGAGTGTCTGTGTAACCGATATTGGATGTCAAACATTATTGCTTATCTCATTAATGGAACAAAACGAGATTGTTGTTCGTTATATTATTTAAAGCATTGGTTGTAGATAGTATTTGATTCTTAAAAAGTTAATTTCTTTTGTTTAGCATGGTCGGTATTGTATTTCGGGTTTTTTTGTGCTATTTTTATTATATCTGTCGTATGGTGCATTATTTTTCGGCGCAAATTAAGTGAAACATATCGGCTTTCAAAATTAAATGAAACGAAGAAAAGTAATCGCTTTCAGTTGTAAAAGCAATTTGAAAAATTGAAAAAGTTTTTTTTATAAACTTTATAACTTCATTAAACTTCATTAAACTTCATTTTATAAACTTTATTTTTTTATTTCTTTGATAGATTTTATATTTTTTCTTGAATAATTTTATGAATTTAATTTTTTTCGAACAATAAAAATTTGAAAAAAAAAGGTACTTGCTTAGGAATGATGAAGCGTCATCGTATACGGCGCAGACGAGCCAATCGCAATGACGGAACGTCGTCATCTCAAAATGGTTTTTCAAATGGATCAGTCAAGTGCCTTAAAAGTTCTTTATTTTTTTCTATCTAATTGCATTATTCACTTAGTTTTCTTTTTTATGGTGAAAACTTCTCGACTATTTCCTAACTAAAAGGGTTTCAGATGAAAGATCCTATGCACTACTTGTACCATCAGATTCATTAAGTTCCGAAGATGAATTGATAAATCGTGTAAATTTTTCGCGTGCAACTACAAATAGAGAATTAGAACTTCGTGCGCGATCTTCAGATTCTGTGAATTTCACTTGAATTTCATTTGAATTCTTGTTCAGTTGTTTTCATAGATCTCTACTTAATTTTAAACTGAAAAAAATCTACATGTGATAAATTCGTTTATCTTTGTTATTTTACGGTTAATTCTTCTTCAGCTGTTTTTTCATAGTTTTCTTTTTCTTTTTTATTTATTTGCTTTATTGGTTTCGAATTCTATTAATATTCAGTTAGTATTGTTGTGGTGGCTTCATCTTCTTATGAAGAATTAGTATTATTACTTAATACAGTATTGTTATCATTATTATTCTTCTTATTGTTAATATTATTTTCAATGAACGAGTTATTGTTAAATATTTAGAATGAGTGTCATTATCATACTTTATGTTATTATCAAATGTTATTATCATACTTTGTAAGTATTGGTTTAATTTCGTGATTATAATAATTTTTTGACAATTTTGATAATTTAAGTATTTTATTTTATTTAAGCTTTCCCATATTACATCGTTGTCCTTTATTTATCCTCTAATGTTATTCGTTTTTGTCCTACTTTTATTTTTTATTAATTAATGTTTTACTAGCTGAGTGAGGAAGAGACTTTCATTATTTGCGTTTTCATCTTTTGTAGATGATGGTTTACAGTAAAATTACGTGTATATAAAGTTACGTGAATTTTAAGTGATTATTCAATTTGATAATAGGAAAAAACGTTACGATTTCAAATTTATATTAAGCTTGTATTTTAATAATTATTAATTATTTAATAATTTTTAATTGAATCAATTTAATCAATGTTTATTAAAAGGAATTTGTACGTGTCAAATTGCGGGTTTGGCTAATCCTTTATGTATTTTTGCTTATATTTCATTATGAATTATTCGAGAATTTTAGAAAATCATTTGAACATTTTATGAAAAATTTTTGAGTTGAAATTTGTGGAAAAAATCGCTAAACATTGAAAAATACAATTTAAATGAATAAAAATTTGATAGTTTAAAAATATACAATGTTTTAATAATGTTTTTCAGCGGTCTTTTTTTTCAAACTTAATTAGTAATGTAAAAAGAAAAGAATAATGTAACAGGTTTCATGGCAGCGATGGTGCGAGGTTATTCTCTTGTTATGAAAATCCGGGAAAGTGTGAGTATCAATGGTTTAGGAAGAAGGGTTGTGGATTGCTTGTTGCTTTGTATTTGGGTAAATTGTAGGAATTGTGGAATCTCTGAAAGATGTGTTTTCTTTCGTAATTTATTGTAGGCGGATTTAATTGTAAAAAAAATTTTCTTCAGAAATAATTTTAACAATTTTTAGAGTTTGGGAAAATTTGATAATGCAATTGAACGAGAGGGGAAATATTTCCTAACTTGAATGGAGAAAATATCGAATGCTGGTGAGGACGGTTCGCCGTTAAGTGATGTTTGTCTCCTTCCTTCTTTTTCTCACCATTAGAATGCCTTAGGCTGTCGGACCAGACAAATTTTTGCCAGGAAGTCACGTGACGATATAAGTCACGTGAAGCACCGTTAGGAATTTTTGCGTGCGATTTTTATTTCCTTGTTTTCGGTTATTTTTTTCGTTGAATTCAGCATGAATTTAGCTAACATCAATTATTTTTTATTTGCTGATGGTGAAACGACCCTTGTCCCTTAACAGCAATAAGCATAACTGCTATGGATCCAGGCACAGTTTTATTTTCAGCTAATTCTTCAGCAGAAAACTCTCTATTGAGCAGCATAGCTAGGTAAATCTCGAATGATACGGATTGTTAAATGGATAAAGAACTATGATTTGTTATATATCAATCATTGAATCACTTATCAATTATCAATTGTCAATTTGGGCAATAAAACACTAAAAAATGAAAATTAGTTGGCTCATATTTAAGATAAAAATTGCCAAATGCATGAAAAAAATAAATAATTTTAATAAAAAACAAATAGTTTTCAGATGTGTTTAGCAGTGGATGCAATTGAAAGAATTGTTAAAATTATACCAATGATTAATGATGATCCCAAGTTTTGTTTATTGCATAAACTAACTCGTATGTTTTTTTGTATTTTGTATTTTTTCAGTTTTAAAAATTAAATTGGAAATTCTTTAAATTTTCCCAATTCTATGCTAATTTTATTGTTAAAAAGAAGAGAATTTTCCTCAGTTAGCAGTTCTTTTATTGAGTGAGTATTTTCGGAAATATGGAATGGAGATTTCTTCTTGTAATTTTCTTTACCGGAAAGTATGTTTTCTTTTCTATACGTCTTTTCCATACGATGGAGGGATTTGCCATTTTCATTCAAAAACAACGGTAGTTTACCAGTAATTAGGAGAAATAGGTACGAAGTTAGCTTAGTTAGGAGAAATTAGGAGAAGTTGATTCAGATGTAAGCTCGAGCTTATTCTTTCCTTTTTCTTCTTTTAAAAATTTTGAGGATTGTTATTTTGAGAAATTTTATCTTCCATTCGTTCTAATTTAATTCTGTTGATGAACAAATTAATTAATAGCCTTTTGATTTATTTCAGCTGGAAAGTTCTAAGTTTAATTAAGCTTTTGTCAAATAGAAAATTGTCAAATTTTCTCTTTTTTATTTAATTGTTTGAAATTTTTTCTACTTTTTATCATTTAAAAACACGATGAATAGACTTTTAAAAATTTTTTAAAATTCCTCCTAATTCCTTTTTTACTTTACATTGTTATATTATATTGTAGATTGAACTATCATTTCAGAAAAGCAGCTGAACACTTTTGGAATTGTGATTAATGAAAACGAATTAGAAGACGACGATTATATACGTAAGTTTTTTCGCTTTTCTAATTATTTATTAATTTAGGTAAAAAAATCAAAAAGGATAATAGCGAAACGTTTGGCTTAATTGTAGTAATAAAAATTATAAAAAGCTTAAAATAGAATTACTACAATAGAATTAATAAGGTAATGGTTGTGTCAATTATATTAGAAGGCAATTTATTTCAGTAGTTAATGTTGGAAATAAATTAAGACCCTGGAAAATTTACTTTTTTCATTCATTTGTTGTTGTGTTTCATTGAGTTCAACAATTTCTAATTTCGGAAAATAAAACGAATCAGCAGTGCTTTTCATTTTATCATAGTAGTGCCTGTAGGGGCATAAAATTATATATAGGAATGAGCCACTTTCTCTTTGCTTTTTATTTCGAGCGAATTCCATAAATTTCGATATTATAAATTGCATAGATGGATGAATGTATAAATTTTAGCTTTATTTACTATTTGGATATCAAACTTTAGAGAGTCGCTAAAAAGTAGAGATAAAAGCAGGTTTTCAATAGCCACTCGAATTTCATTTTTAACGGACAAGGACTGATTCTTGTGCTTTTCTAGCTCAGCAGGATTTATGCTCGTGAATTCATTTAAATTTTCAGGATTCTTTTTTAGGATTTTTCAGATTGTGATCTTTGTGACCGATATTATCGAGCATCATGTAAAATCCATCCTCTGTTTGTTGTTAATGACAGAGAGGTAAATTATGCGAAGTATTTCTTTGATAATTTTGCTAAATTTTGTATCTATGTTTTAATCACAAAAAGAGTAGGGAAAATCACGGCTTTAAAATAAATTTCTTTATAAAAACCTCCAATTCTCAATCCAAGTGTTGGTTTGTTCAACTGAAATGAAATTAACTATTTCTAGGTTCGCGAAGACCATAAAACACGTGCTTTACAAACCTTACCTGCATTCTTTGAAATAAAAGCATCAAAAATACCCAAAGCTGGACTTGGAGTTTTTGCCAAGATTGACATACCAGTTGGATTGGTGTTCGGACCATATCAGGGTGATTCGCATTTCATTTAAACAACTACCTCTATCTCAATTTTAAATTTTTGAAGAATTTTTGAACTGATTAAGAAAATTAAATTAAACTGATTAAATGTACCTATCAGATTAAATAAAATTTCAGAATTTCGATTTTTTATCTATTAATTTTCGCTGAAAAAATTTTATTTATGTTAAACGTTTCTTGCTTATAACGAATCTCGCTCAATAGATATCATTAGCATATTCTTAGGCATTCTGTTATGTGATTCAAAAAAAGCGGATCAACACGGTTATTCATGGGAAATTCGTATCGCTGGCAAACCATCGCAATTTGTGGATGGTAGTGATCCAAGATATTCGAATTGGATGCGCTATATTAATAGCTCAAGATGTAAGGTCTATCTAATTTGAGAAAAGGCAGAATTTCATAAAAAAGGTTGAAGGTGATTATAAATATCAAGAAAAATTCCTGTCTTAAGAAAGACAATGGAGCATTTTTCTCGGTCCTCTAATGAACGCTTAATCATCTTTGTCACTTTAGTTTTCGTCTTTTTCGTTTAAAGTTAATTTCAGTTGAAAAAGAGCAAAATTTAATAGCGTTTCAATATAATGGCAGCGTATATTATCGTGTATTTCGACCGATAAGTGAAGGCATTGAGTTACTCGGTAGGTTAATTTGTGGATTTATGAATTCGAAGATTATTCTAAATATCCTTGACAACTTATTAAAATAAATAATTTAAAATAGTGAAAATATAGATTTATTGCGAAATTTATTTAAACTTAATTTTTATTTATAAATTTTAAATTTAGCAAATCGTTTTATTTGGATTTCTAATGAATTTAGCAGTTTTTAATAAAATGATAATAAAATGAGAAATGAAAAATGAGATGAGAATCAAGTAAGCGGAGTGATTAATTATAAATACGAATAAAAATAAAAATTATTTCAGTTTGGTATGGAAATAAATATGGTGAAAGTTTAGGAGTGTTATGTGCATCGCAAAGAACAAAAAGGCCTTCGATACCAATTGAAAAAAACCCTTTTATTTTTTAATTCTTCAAAATATGATAAATTTATAAATTTTCGCCCTAAAAGAATTGGATTTTACAATATCGTCATTGTTAAGAATGATAAGAACGATAGTAGCCGCGCATCCATATAAATATTCTATCGAAAGTATTCGTTCGTTTTAATCCACAGCAGTTACTATGCCTGCAGTTCGGATTAGAACTACTGCCTCTTTTATTAACGGTGTTTCGGACGGTGTATTGGTGAAGAAAGGCAATCATAACTGCGAGAGAAAATACGCGAGCGGCATTAACCACGTTATTTGTATCCTTGGCTGATGATTCCAACTGAAATCATTGTTATTTTCATTGGTATGGAAAAAGAGCAAATAGAATTACTATTGGAGTCGCTTTATTAAATTACTTATCACACAATCGTGTTTCTTCGAAAATTTCGAATCCAATTTCAAATTATTCGAAAAATTCAAAATAATTTTATAATAAAAGCAATATTTATCGACGTTTATCTTTTTTGATCAACAAAAACGACGAAATTCATCATTAAACAAATTATCAGCAATGATAAATTTATAAACTATCTATCGAAGTGATATAGGTGATCATAATAAATATTAAACATCAGTTGACAAATATCACGGAAATATAATGGCACTTGCAAACACGATTTTGTTTAAAAATTTCATGTGAACTATAAATATAAAAAACAGAATTCAAAATAACGCTTTGAATTTAAGAAATTCTCTAGAATTGTGTCTAAAAAAATCTAAGGTAATCGTATATGATAATAATCATAAGATTTAAACTCAAATAATTAACAATATTCTACCAAAAAACCAAATAATCTACCAAAAAAATTTTAGAAGATAGAACATTTACAAAGATGATCTTGAATTTCAAGATGAATATTTACAAATATTTTAATATCTAATTTGATAAGATTCACAACAAATATGAATTTAATGTGCCTCCTTCCATTAACCTCCCGCTTTAATCTCAAATTTATTAATAAAAATAAATACATGGAATAAAAATGAACTATCTCAAGAAATTTTTAACCTCCATTAACTTTGTTTTAATAAATTTATAAAATGGAAAATTTTTATTTTTAATCAAAAATTTATCAAAAATCTGATAAAACAATCAAGAAATACACGTATGGAGTGTATATTGCTTTAAGCCTAGTAGTATTCAAGAATTTATGATGATATTTACGATATATTTTCATCTTTGATACATATTTTCATGCTCTGAAACCTTCAAAGGTGAAGAAATATTTCAAATAATAACCCATTAATTTTTCAAAATCATTGAATATAGAAAACGTGAAACTATAATCCTGGAGAAATAATAGTATATTAAAGATAGAAACACCGAGCAAAAAAAAACAAGAAAGAAAAATGGCTGATTTAATACCAAAAAAATAAATATGAAACAATATAAACCAGATAGAACTACGTTTCGATGATTAAGTTCCAACATTATTGAAAAATTTCGTTTCAATTTTTTCGTAATAACGAGAGAATATTTCCTTAAAGAATACATTCTTTAATCAAGTTTCAATTTAATTCACAAACTAAAGAAAATGTTGAAAATTTTATAAAAAAAAACCAACTAGCATCTAAAAGTAAAATATTAATTTCTTCCAGAATTACAAATAATTCTCGAGTTTCCAGAATTATTGATTCCATCAATATTTGAAGAACATCTGAATCATGGACAAATTTATCTGATGCTTCTCCGTGGAAATAATCTGCCATCACTGCAATTAAAAAATTTTACTGAAAATCGCTAAATTTTATTAATACCAATGTCGGCAACCTACTCATATACATTGACTTTTAGTGATGTTATAATATGAATATCATTTACTCATATATATTTTATTACATGCAATAAAAACAGGTTTTATTATTCTGTTTTATTAATAACAAATATTACGAAAAACATTTACATTCACATTTTAATGGATCGGTGTAGGAATGAAAACATTCCGCATTGCTGAGAACCGGATGGTGCTGAGTAATAAAATCAAATACAAACAACTGTGGCAAAGACCTCACCATGTATGCAGTGCAGCTGATTGACAACTGACCGATTCAACGAATTAGGCAGTTGCTTTGCCTTCGCCTTATACCGTTTTGATCATTTGTTCTTCTTTTTATACGTCCAGTTCACATATAAGCAACATAAGCACCAAGTGTGAATATTCCACTACAATCTCCTTTGGAGATAAAAGTAGGATAATAGCAATAAGCCATTTTTCCATATTCTCTATTCTTTTCCCTTTATATTTCTAATAATAATAATCTATTATGATATTCAATATTATGCTCTTTATAACTTATGGTAATCAAAAGATAAATAAAACTGAGACTTGTATTAATGGTTCTTAATTGTTAAAATCTGGTACTACCATGGTGCTGCGTATTATCATGAATAAAGAATCATTCACTGCCAAAAGAGCAATGAATAAATTCAAATCGATTTTATCCACATTCTATGTTTTGAACGACTGATGTAGACATTCAACATGAAATTCTTCTTCTTCTTCTTAGCAACTAAGCAACTTTTTTTTCAGCCATTATTGCAGTCATAATGCCATTTTTTTCTAAAAACAAACAATACCACATAGAAACAAATAATATAACTTAACGTAATTAAGTTATACAACGTAATTACTACGTAATTATTCTTCCAAGAATACATTCATTTAAAAGATTACTAATAATTGAATGCACAGGTGGCGCAGCGAAATAAGAGCGGTGCATACTTTCAGCATCGATGGCATTGGATCGAAAAGCTTGGAAATGTCTTAACCTAGTTGTCGGTGGAAGTAGCCAACTCAATAATGGTGTGACCTAGAAAAAAAAATTAAAGCACTATACTAAATTCTTTGAGCTCGTTGGGATGAAAACATTGTTCGAGAAAAGCAAAAATTGCGAGTCGAGGAAAGTGCTAAGTACCATTCGGCTGAAATAATCGATAAACCTTGATTTTTTATAATAAATATTAAATAATAAAATTTGCAATAAATATTACATCTAAATACAATCAAATAATAAAACTAAATAATCAAAACTATAGGAAAAAATTATAAGATTTTTTCCATGCGAAATTTCAAAATAATGAATTTTTAATTTTAATTTAAAATTAAAAATTAAAAATATATGAAATAATTAAAATTTTAATTAAGCAAAAAAAGCAAAAGAAACGCGAACGCTTTCAGCCGCTGAAAGTCAAGAGGAAAGGAAAAAATAAAATCCCAATTTAAAATAATTCAAATATTTTCAAATTTGAATCGTTGCAAGAACATTTTGTAATCTTGCAGCTAAAAATTTTTTTGACAGCTCTCATAGCCTTACAAGATCAAGTTGGATGCGGACTGCCTTGGGTACCATTTCCCTTTGCGGTCGCTAGGAGTCGGATACAGCTTAACACATAATCAATCAGTCATTGGTCCTAAATTTATATAAAATCATTTAAATTTTACAAAATTATTTCGAGCAAACAACGAATTTTTATTTTTAACCTTCCTGAAGGAGAATCTTAAAAGACTAATGGAACGTCGATGACAGTGTTCCGCAAAAGTATGAGTGACTCTGGTGACACACCCGTACTTCTGCCATTAAATGATTCGTTGCAAAATTTGTTTGGCCCGACAAGAAGTCCAGCCGGACGTGCCTTATCAAAAATGGCAAAAAAAAACTTTCACCTATCAATCATTAAGTCTACGATATTTTCCACGCTGTACCCTCATATCCCCCTCCAGCCGAACTAGGCACTTAGTAACCAAGCATTTCAAACTTCCTATATTCTCCTCCCGTCAAGTTCCATTCTTAACTTTTCAATCAACCTTGTCGTTCTCTTCATACTCCCTCAAAATTCCATCCATTCTGCTAATAATGCACCCCATTTGTAATATTTGCTCCCTTGCCAATTCTTTACCACATTTGTCCTTATGAATAATTGAAAACCGTAATGAAAACGCCTTAATAGCCCTCTCAGCCCAGCTATGCTGAAACAACTGGGCATTTCATTGTCGACTTCTCACTTTATATTATATTCTCTCAATATTTTTCCTTCAAATAAAATTTGATAACTCAAAATCCTTTCCAAAGCATTTCAGATTCTTTATTTACTTCTGTACAAGTATATAATGGTTAAAAATTTTAACAACAAAAAGTGTGATAAAATCGAGGAATAATATATAAGAAAATTATGATTGAAAAACTGAGAATCATTAAGATCCAAGTCAATATATGCGATAAAAATAAAAAACCTCAAAATAGTCGCCATCAACAATTTCACTGCAGACACATAATAACAATACTTTTACTGCCAATATTTTCAATTGCCTATCACGAAATTTGAAAATACAATTTACAAATAGTATATTTCCATACTTACATAAAAAGCAAAACAAATAAGATCAGATCAATACGAAAATGAGGTTATATCATGTTTTTTCTTTGTCCTTGCGAAGCCTGCATAAAAAAAATAAGAATAAAATTAAATCGATCATAAAATAATAAATAAAATAAATAATTTCGGTATTTTTATTCTGAATTCTAAATCATTGAATAAATTTATTTGGCTTAGTGGTTATAAATGTATGCAAATCTGCCAAAGAACTTGTTCGAGATTAGGACTCCCTAATTCTCGAAGCAATCTTATATCCTGTCCATGCAAACTCCATTTGGAATGTCAGCTCACCGAACTCTGGCAATATGATCGGAATAAAAGGATGGCAACTCAACGGTTGTTGCTCAATTTTGAGCAACAGTTCAGATTGGACGCCTGGAGTAAGTGAAACCTATCTTTCAAAAATCTAAGATATTAGCGATTTATTTAATTTCAAGTGATCCCTTGGCAAAATTTCTTTGATTCAACAGACCTGTGAAACAAGCCTAACTAGTAATGGTGAGCGCTCTTAGAAAAAAATAAAAATGAAAATCTACTTCTTTGGTTTCGATGGACATCGTTCTTTATGCTTACGACAGTGATGATGACGAAGATGATGATGACACTTATAATGACCTGTGTGCCTTCGCTTTTTCCCGCTAGATGAAGTTGTTGCTGATTTATCTCGAGATGCATCCCTAAATCAAAAAAAAATTTATTCTAAGAAGCTTCAGAACTAGTTAAATAAAAATTTAACCAATGTCGGTCGCGATCACTCTCTCTATCTCGTCCTCGGCTTCCATAAGGTGATCTACTCCGCGTCCTCCTACGTTCTCGATCAAAATTATCGAGGTCTCTAAAAAAATTAATTTTCATAATTCATTCTGCCAACAAAATCTTAAATTGTCATCAAATTACTCGAGATTGTGTTTTTGAAAATATTTTGCTCTAAAAAAAATAAAAGGAACCTTTCGTGTTCTCGTTGATAATCAAGCTTTGCTTTATCTCGAAATTTTATTTCAATTTCCTTCTGGAAAAATATTCGAAATATTTAAAGTGCAAAAATTAATTTAAAAAGTTAAATTAAGAAAAGTTAAGAAAAATTGTAAAAAAACTTTTACGAACAAAATCAACGGAAATTTTTAATATTAGTTCCAAAAAAAACATAAATAACCTGAATGGGAACCGGAATACGAGGAAACAACGTTCCATACCAATCTAACTTGGTAAGCATCATTTTCACAATTTGTGCAATAGTTGTAACATCGCCTCCTCCAGAACGTGGATCAATTTGTTCCTCATCATCCTGGAAATTAAGCTAATTTTTCCATCCAATGACACAAGTTCGAAATGAAATCATAAAACAAAACAAACCAAGTATGGTTCCATCCAAGCCCAAAGATCGCAAGGCGGTTGGCAAAACCGAATATACATGAATCCTAATCCGCGTATATATGGAGAATCTCTATTATTAATCATACTGACTAACTGTTTTCTAAAATTCACCTTCGTGATAACATTGCGATAATTATGGAAATTTGAAAAATTTAAACAATAAGGATAAGTACAGGAAGTAAACGAAAATGCTTCATTATTAAAACAAAATATCGCCGACTGAGGATAAGCAACAGGATAGGTTCGATTCTTGCTTTTTCACAGTGGTAAACAAGATTATTAAAACTGAAGTATGAAATATTATTCATGTCGAGACATTTACTCTCAATAGGTTCTAGTGAAACAGTTAGCTAACTTAGTGTTACATGGAGGATTTTCTTCAATAAAAAATAGAAGAAAAACTGCAAAAACGGCATTTAAAAAAAACAACAATAGAAAAATAATCGGCCGAGAATAAGAGAATAAATCTTGAAATATTAATTTAAAAACTTCGAATGTTACCTAGAAAGCCTTATGGTAAACAATTTATAAAGCAAGCAGAATGCAGTGCTTACAACTCCACCCGCGCCAACTCCTCGCACCTTAAACATTCGTATTAGACGCAAGAGAAATGAATTTCCGATAAAGCTTCAAAATTATAAAATTATGAATTATGAATTAAATTATACCACTAAAAGTGACTGACCCCGCCACACATTCCAGTCATTCCTTGAGTTTTCCTTGTTCCACGCTCCCAGGGCTCCAAGTGCTTCACCTGGAAGAAAATCAAAAATGGTTTCTTAATAGTTATACTTTCATTCATTTAATTTTATTCATTTAATTTAAAAAGCAAAGAATTGAAATAAAATATATACATATATAAAATTTATATATAAAATATATATATATATATATATAAAATTTATAATAATATAAATATGTCTGCCTTATGCCTTTCTTTGACAGGAGTAAACCTATCATGTTAAAAATCCGGGTCGTTGCTGAGGATACACCTGTAATTCTACCCCTAAGTGATTCTATGGTAAAAGGGTTAGATATTCATGATACGGTATCCACGTCTTCGAAGGCGCATGATACTCCCGGTTCGGTGGCGATAAGTATACAATCCGCGCGTAAAGCAATTCCAAAGTTTATAAATAAAATGTGCTCGCAAGCCAGGGTAATTACTCGAAATCTATCAAGAAGAATGGCTCTCTGCACTCGCGGCGAAATGTTAGCCGTATCAGCGTGAAACGTCAGAACGCTTATGGATGTTGCGAGCCAAGCAATCACTATCCGCACCCCTTCTACCCTTTCTAAATATCTCCGTTTTCTTCACTTCGCACCTCGAGCAAATATTAATTCTGGCTCACAGCAGAGATACTGGGTATATCTCTGTGGTGCTTTGGATAACTGGGGGAAAAGCGGCGCAGCGATTTTCATGTCTAACAAGTCACATTCCGTTGTGAATGAGTGGAAATCAGTAAGCGACCGAATGGCCTATGCCCATTTTAAAGGTATGTTCTGCAATATCTCGGTTATCAGTGTCTATGTTCCAGTATTGTCGGCAAATGATAGTGATAAAGATAAGTTCTATGCGGAACTTCAACTGTTAATAAAGTCTATACCGAAACATAACATAGTCATAATCGGGAGAGACTGGAATGCGCGCATAGGTCATAATGATGCTGCGATGACTTCTACAATTGGCAAATATACATCAGAGATCGGGGAATGCCTTCTTCGTTATGCCGAAAAGCATGAATTTTTGTTATTAATACTTCCTTTCTGCATCATAGAAAACATATATAGTTACGTAGAATTCCACGGATAACCAACACTTCAACCAGATTGATTATATCTTAGTCAGTCACCGTTAGAAGAGTTCAGTACTAGATAGTCGTTTCTATCGCGGAGATGAAATGAGCAATCTTCATTGATCACGTTATGGTTCGAACCAAGATCTGCATAAAACTGACAACTCTCAGAACAGCATCCTCCAAAATCTTTCATCAACCTTAAGCTAAAGAATTCGGGGGCAATAAGCGCACTTCAAACCGAACTATTGAAGAACCTTAATGGTATTAATGGTATTAAGTACCAATGAATTTTCTCGAACGGCAAATGAATAATGGTCCAAATTAAAAAAATATCTGCGAAAGTCAGTCATTTCCACACTAAAGCATATTAGTAGGAAGTGCGCTAATTGGGTATGGGAAGCAACTGTCCAATTATCTGAAAAAGCTGCCAAAGTATGAATGTCAGAGATGATCTCGACTACCGTATGCTTCGAAGATTTGCAATGAAAGCAGCATGGGATATTGGAGTGATATGGCCTTGAGAATGGAGACGGCAGCTCGATTAAGGAAACCATTCCGCCTTCTTCATAATATAACTATAACTGGGGAACGATTCGTCGAACCATATGCATACAATTGCGAGCCGCCAACAGAAGAAGAAATAATCGCCGTTATCCATAAGCTTATGGACAATAAGAGGAGATGGTCTCCGGGCTTCTCTTCAGATGCTGTCTATGATCGTTCACAATTCACCTTTAATAAATATATTCTCTGGTACGGCAAAAGGAAATAATACCAGAAGACTGGAACAAAGCAATTCTGCTTCCAATTTCTAAGAAAGGTGACAAGGTTTACTGCGACAATTACCAAGGAATCAGCCTATTGGACATCTCTGATAAGATTTCGCTTCCCTTCGGCTAAAGCACGAGACAGCATAATGCTGTCCTAACTATACTGGATTTAAATCGGGATGCGGTCGTCTGACCAGATATTCACGCTAAGAAAAGTACTGGAACATTGCTTCAACCCACCGTCATATGTTTTATCGACTTTGCAGCTATCTTGGATTCTACTAATAGCCGTTCTCTGGAAAGTGATCGAATGTTACGATGTCCTAGAGAAGATTACTTGGCTCAGAAAGGCATTTTATCAGTATACCTTACCTTGACACAGATCTATGAAGAACTGACTGATCGTTTCGAAATAAAAACTAGCAAATCTGTCAAGGATACATTCTTTCCCCTACAATATTAAACTATACGATACACTGGATAACTGGTATCACTTGTCGGCACTCAAGAGGTGCAAATCACTCCAAAGCATAGATCACAGATCTTATCCAGACCATATCACAGATCTTGAATACACTGATGATGTAGTCCTTTTTGCTGACAGTTATGACGAAATGCAAATAATGCTAAACAGCGTTCAGTTACATCAAGAATAGGACACAAGGTCAATGTATATAAAACGAAGGTCTTTTCGTCTTATGTACAAGAAGCTGATATAATGCCTCTTTTTGTAAATCCATTGCCGCTCGAGGAAGTGCTCGACTTTAAACACCTTGGGTCCATTTTAATAGCAAATAGCCAAGCAAAAGACGATATGATAGCCCGGATCACGACAGCTAGAAATGCATTCTTCTCGTTGTTGAAACCTTTGTGGAGCCGATATGAAATCACCATAAAAACGAAAGTCTGCATCTATATAGCCGCGATTCGTTCAATCTTGCTATATGACTGCGAGACATGGCCAATGAGAGTGGAGGATATTAAGGAAATAAATATCTTTGACCAATCATGTCTAAGATACATTTTGCGGGTTCATCGCGTGGATAAAATCTTACTTGATCGCATCCACCTTTGTTGAAATACCACTTGAGTTAACAATGCCATCACAGAACGTCACCTTCGCCACTTAGAGCACGTTTTTTTCCTCCACCACAAGAGTTGATGCACATTTCATTACTTGTTAAAGCCTATGTTGGTTAGCGTCAAAAGCGAGGTAGTTCATTCAAGATCTGGATTAACACGGTCAGGAAAGATTTTGAACGTATACGTGGACCAGCAATATGTGGACTTAGAAGTGGAAAAGGAATGGCATTTATTACTGTTGACGATATCATCAGACCGCGTCGCTTGGAAGCGTCTTACCCTTTTAGCCATTAGAGCCAGCCTAATCAGTAATGGCGTGTTAGAAAATATTTGATTTTTTACTCATTTAACTAAGCTAAATAATAAATAATAAAACAATGATAATATACAAAATAAAATTGAATTTCAATTACTTAAATCACAATTTCTCAAACTTACTCTGTAATAGATTTCTTCAATAAGTTGCTGAAAACCGGTTGTTTCGGCCAGATAATTCTTATAATAAGTACACTGGACAATATTCTCCAGTACAAGGGCATTTAAATTCATTGTCTGATTATTACCCCATAGTGGCAAAATATTATTCTTCTTAGTAATTTTCTAAATTTTCGACATTAAAAGTATAAAAAAAATTCGTACGATATTAAAAGAGAATAATTTAAATTTCTGAAGGAATAAAAAATATTTCCAATGATTATAAAATAAGGAAAAGCATTTTAAATGATAATGTATGAAATTTACATAGTAATCAATTTCCCATAAAACGTAGTTCACTTTTCAGCGAACTCATTCTTTTATATTTTCCACATCTCACTTTCATAAGACGATCAAAAACAACAAAATAAATTCTATATTATCAACCTCAGGCATCTTGCAAATTAAAATAAATAATGACTTAGTAAATTAAGTTTATTAAGCGCATAAAAGGAAACCAACTTGAATATCTGGTATAGTGTTGTCGCTCAGATCATCTTCGTACATTACTTCAGGTCCATTTGTATTTAATCCTGCCACTAGTAGTGCAGCTGCGCCACCATCAGCAGCAGACATTGCCTAAAACAAACTAAATCTTCCAAAACCAAAATAACAGTAAATATAGAATAAATAAAGAAAAAAATTCGCAAAAATACTTAAAATATGCGAAAATGAAAAATTTTTAAGACTATAACTAACTAAAAACACACGATAGCAACAAGGACCAGCATTGATTTATTCCTTTATTTCATCAGAAAAAAATTTTTCGAGAGCTCATCGAGTAGAATTAGTTAGCAGAAGTAATTGCTAGAATAACCCTGCTGATTTTTAGATTCAACTGGCTATAGATAAATGAAGATCGGACGTAGAATGGCTCAATAGGTCGTTGCCCAGTCCAGAACGCCAATGCTGAGGTTCCATTCTTTACAGGTCCAAGAACCCGGGTGATTGCAGCGATTCACCAGAACTTGCATCGCCGATGGACCCTGGCAAAGTTAACGGTACATTACCAGTGCACCATCATGGTTCTTTTTAAAGACAAACTTACTCCTTTTGATGATAGAAATGCAATAAACTGTTACTAAGTGAGAAATCGTGTTGGTGCTCAAGAATGTACCACAAAATGGCTCTCCGGTGAAATGGCCTCACACCTTCACCAATGTCACCAATCAAGCAACCAATTGAGAATGTAGTTTGAAGAAAATTAGGTCATGGAATGAATTAAACTAACCACTCTACAAATGTATGAAAAATAACGGAAAAATAATCCATACGAATTTTAAAACCTGTTCTTGGATAATTGCCAATCTTTTAAGCTTTCATACACTTGTTTTAAGACCCAAAATTTGCATTTTTTAAGCAGCGACAAATTCATACCAAAAGAAGCACCAGATGTTAGAAGAGAAAATTATTTTAGAAGAGAGTTAGAGAAGAGAAGAGAAAATTATCGTACGTAGAGTCGATAAGACACGAAAGAATCGGACACGCTAGGACTATAATTGGGATTGATAAACTACGAGAGAATCAGACAGGCGCGTGTAAGTAGGATTAATAAGCTATAAGAGAATTAGACAGGCGCGCGTATGTGGGATTAACAAGTTATAAGAGAATCAGACATATTTCTACGTCAGTGAATGCATACTCGAAGGGAAAGAATAATAAATAAATATCTTGCTGGTGGCAATCTATTAAAGAATAGTCCCTAAAACCCCCCTGAAAAATAAACCGGGGAAATTTCTTTATCAATAAACTGTCGAAGACTATGGAAGCGAGGAAAGCTGAAAGCTGAAGCGATTTTCGTGCTAAACTTGATTCTTTCAAACTTTCTTGAGCACCTTTCCCTCAGCTTAGTTTACCCAACACTATTTCTTCTAATTTTGCTTGAGATTTTACCAGAACAGTTCCAGGAAGCGCTAGTGAATGATATATTTTTAAAGAATTTATCATTACATAGGGAATCACTCGCAGTCGACATTTTAGAATTTAAAAAGGTTTAGGTTTTTTTCATTCGTGCGGCTTCATAGGGGAAGATTTCGTCTGAAGGCTTACCTTACCACTGCTTTATGCTAATAGATTTCCGAGTGTCTCAATATTTGCTGGAATTTTGGCCTAAACAATGAAACGGTGATTTCTTGTAATCGTTCAGACTCTTCGACGAACGAACCTTGCTTAATCATTTAATGGCATTAGCCAAGCCAATAATAGTGCGGAGTTAGAAGAAGTACGTTTTATATTAAGATGGTTTTTTTCTAAAACCGCTCGCCATTGCCAATTAGGCTGGTTTCTCTGATTTGTTAGACCAAGCAAATTTTGCTAGGAAGCCACTTGGAGATAGAAATACAGGTGTATTGCAAGGATCAGCTGGATTTTTGAAGGATTAGTTTACTCCTGCTGCTTGTAGAACCTCTTTCTCTCTCCCTTACCTCCCTTCTGCTCTCGCTATTCTGTAAGTATGGCCAGATTCGAAGACTCGCCATTGGAACTACGCCGCACTATATTAAGGTAAAGGAACTGCGTAAGACTGTAGAATATTAAAAGAAGGCAAAGAACACAAAAGGTATAAATTTAAACCCTCTGCCACATACAGCTCATTCTTGCTTCATCTAACCAAATAATTCATGAACTGAATTTCAAAAATTTGCCCAGCTACCGCAATTATCCTCTTTATCCTCTTTGCCAACCGCTACCGCATTTAAGTTCTCATGTTGAATTACTAAATTGCAGATGATGTGGAAGATTTTTCTTTGGTACTTTGTTTTTGAATTGCTTTTTTTTGAGGAATAGTGGCAGATAACTTCCATAGGGGAGCTAAAAAAGAATGAAATAATCCTGTATGGAGTGTTTTTCTCGGTTTTGAAGGCCATTGCATTTATTTTCTTGCTTTAAATCTAATTGGCTTTTTTCGGTTCAAAATTATTCTAAACTCATTGTTTCCGCTGTTGTCGACATATAGCTCAATGGTTCATAACCTTTATTGCACGTGGTGTATTTGAACATTCTAAAAATTCCTTTGAGAATTCTCGACTTTGAATAATATTTGGCATTCTTCGGAAATGTCGAAGAAGGATTGATAATTGCTGATTTGCTTGGTTTGATTAATGTTTGATTTGATTTCCGTGCACAAATTTATGCAAGATTCTTAATGATGAAAGTGATTTAGGAGATAAGTTGCGATGAGTTCTCGAAGAAGTAGTAGTACTTCAAGGGATGCTTACCACAGTCGGTCGAGAAGTCGTTCAAGAACACCTCTGAGATATTCTTCTCATTCTAAATCGGTTCGACATAGGTATTGTCTTTCCTTATTCTCATTACTATCAGTTGTAGTTCTTTTCATTTCATTTTATTGTTGGTTCTAACTTTTTTTTATGATTACACATCTTTGTTTTTTTTGTATTTTTGTTTTTATTTTATTTAATTAATGTTTTTATTTGTATTTTTTAATTGCTTTTTATAATTTTGTCTATTCAATCAGTTTGTTATTCTAACTTTTTTCTTTAAAATTATTTATTTAAAATCGACTTTTTTCCTTCTAAAAATTGTTCCTCTCCGGCATTTTTTAATTGGCAAGTTTGCAAAAATGAGGCGAAAATTGAGCCGAAAACATTGTGGGGCTATGAAAAATTGAAATCGCTACAAATTTGGTAGAACCATTTTCAATTTCTTATCATAATAGTTCCTCGTAAATTTCAAATTTTTATCATTTTTAGCTTCAATCCATCTTTTTAAGATCTTGTTTCATGAACGAATTTAATGAATATCATTAATAATATAATTTATTGGCATTTATTATTTATAAATAATGTAATTTATAATTTATAGACATGAGGATTATTCACGTTCACCCAAAAGTCAAGAATATAAAAGAAATGAAAGGGAACAAAAATTTCGAAAAGAAAAAAAAAAGGCAAAAAATTGTGCTTATCGAAGAGAAAGTGAATATTCAAACAATGGTGATTCCGAATCGAGTTCAACATCTCATTCAAGGTTAGGAAATACAAAATGTACTTGCTACATAAATATACTTCCGACTGATGTGTTATGGTACTTATGTTATGGTAGCAGTTGTGCTACTTGTTTCATGTTGATATCCTCGGAAGATAATTAAGAAATAAACAAAAAAGTATGAGTTTGGTGCATTTGGGTCTATGCTAATTCAAACTCTACCAATTTTTTATTTTTTTTCTTTTTCTATTTTCATTATAGTGTAACATGCTTAGAGATAGTGCATTGATGAAGATTTCATATTTGTTGTGGGAATGATATATATATATCATTTATTCAAAATTAGTGCAGTTTATTTCACAGTTTATTTTTGATAAAAATTAACAAAATTCTAGAAAAAAAATAACAAACTGTTTTTTGCCGCAGGCGTATCTTCTGTAGTCTGTTTTACTCTTTTCCTTTTTGATGCTTATATTGCTTAAAAATATATAATTGAATTGAATAAATTCGGCTTATTACTTTGCAGGTCATTGTCTTCTTCAGGCAAAAGGAAAAATTGTGATTCTACTAAGTTAGACATGTCTCCGAAAGGTGACGACTCTGAGAAAAGAAATTGCGAGAAAATTCCTAATCATCGATCATCAAAAGAGGATTTATTTTGGGAAAAGTTGCTTTATACCATTTTCTATCAAATAATACTAACAACTATTGCAAAATTTTTCGTTTTTTATACTTTTATTTTCAATTTTCAACTTGGAAAAAATATGGAATATTTTCCTTTTAAGAAATTTATTAGCTATAATACCAATAAAATTTATAAATATTAAAATTGATAAAAGTTAAAAAAATTTTCGAAAAAAAATAGCAAACTATTTTTTGTTCTTGCAGACGTCGTGAAGAACGCTCCAGGCACGGTTCAGCAGGTGTACGTTCTATTTGGGGAAGATCACCATTAATACATGAAATAAGAGAGATTTATGAAAAGTTAGTGGAATGTTTTTTTCTATTATATAGGGAAATTGAAAACCCTCACTATTGAGAAATAATAACATGTATTTAATTGAAAACCCTCACTATTGAGAAATAATAACATGTATTTTTGGCTTCTGTCTACTGGCAGGATTAAAATCATCGATACTGATATTGAAATTAAAATTCGATATTGAAATTAAATTCGATATTGAAATTCGATATTGATATCGATATTGAAATTAAAATTAAAATCAAAGTAGCTGCTAGGGATTTATTTCCAAATTACTATAAATTCACCTTTTATGCGGTGAAAATTTATTTTTTTTTATTAAAACAAAAAACTGCTTGACAGAAGTCTTGTTTCTCATGTAACTGCATATTTTTTTTTTGTATTATATTTTTATATTTAATTATATTTTTTTGTTTTGTGCAAACTCTGGTTTTATATCAGTATTCCTATAAAAATCAAAATTTTCGCTTATATCAATAAGATAGTCGGATGTTAATTTGAAAATTAAATTTATTATAGTTATGAATTACTGGAAGGTCAAAATGAAAATCTCTTTGATTTACCAAAACTTGATAACGATAATGGTAAAATAAAAAAGAAAATGAAAAATGGAAATAAATCTAAGGAGAAGAAGAAAAAACAGAAGGAGAAGAAAAAAGTAAATTTGAAGTTTACAGTATTATCTTGTTTTGCCAAGCAATTTTTTATGCTTTTTCATTCACTGATTCAGAAAAAAAGAGATTCAAGTGATAGCGAAGAGGAATGGGTAGAAGTTACAGCTGAAATGAGGCAAGCTGAGGCAGCTAGAGAAAAGATGGAAGAAGCGTCAATGATTGGTCCCACAATTCCGGAACATCTTCTTCAAAAAGAATTTGTTATTGATCACTCGAAAAAAATCAAGTTAGTTTATATTGTTCATAAAGTAGATATATATATCTTTTTTACTTATTTTCACATTTGATGATGTAAGCAGTAATAGCGATTCGTAAAATTTGTAAAGTCTTTTCTACACCGATGATTTGCTAGGTTTTTTTTTTATTTCCAGTTATGGTAAAGATATGTTACGAGGAGAAGCAGCTGCGATGGCGGCTTACGTTGCACAAGGTAAGAGAATTCCGAGGCGCGGTGAAATTGGCTTGTCTTCTGTAGAAATATCGGAATTTGAGAAAATAGGTTATGTTATGAGTGGAACAAGACATAAAAGTATGGAAGCTACACGTTTACGAAAGGAAAATCAGGTAATTTCCTCGTATCACGATTATTCTAGCAGTTTGAAAAAAAACTTCTTTTACTATTTCTTTTTACAAAAAATTTTAATTTTTCAAAGAAATAATTTTATTAGCAAATTGATAATTATTGTAGGTTATGACCGCGGAGGAAAAACGACTTTTAAGTGGATTCACACATGAGGAGAGGAAAAAGAAAGAAGAAATTGTGCTTCAGCAATTCCGAAGTTTTATAGAGTCTAAGAAGGGCAAAAGCTAACTTCAAGTGTTCTTTTATATTGTACAAAAAAACTTATAAAATTTATAAAATTTAATCGCTTTTTTTCCATATACAGTCAAGAAACCATTTATTAAGCATAAACCTAATAAAAACGTATCCAAATCACTACTAAGAAACAAGGGAGCATTAAGAAGCTGGATCTTTTAACTTGAATCTTTTCTTGATCAAATTTATTTATTTGAAAATCGTTATGAGCGAGATGACCAGAGGCTGCGAAATGAAAAGAAAAGTCGGAAAGATCCATGAAAATATTTTTAAAATCGAATGATCGTAAGCTGTGGTTCCCGATTACCCGCAGGAGTAAATCTGTCCAAAAATCCGGATGATGCTGGCGACCTGCATTTCTATCGCCAAGGGACTCTCTGACATATTTATCTAATGCGACAAGCCAGTGGAGCGAGTTGATTTATAAATATATATATTTTATATACATATACAAAATATATATTTTAAGATATATTTTATGGATCAGCCAAGCTGATAAAATCTTGCATTGCATCTACCTCTGTTCAATACTATATGCATTAGTATTACCATCTTAGAGCATTGCTTTCGCTGGTTAGGGCATTTTTTTCACTCCCATTACTTCGCTACTTGCTAAGTCTGTAATGGTTGGCATCAAATATGAAGTAGGCCAATCAAGACTCGATGTATAGAAAACATGGTGAAGTTTGGCGATTCTTTCTTCCAGTATATATTTTTTTTAAAGTCCCAGTAGTCCGCTCAACTATGTAATCTATATAGAAATTAAAACTTCCTACCACGCAGTATTTTTTAACTGACAAAAATACTATATATCTCCGGCCAACGTTCTACCTATAAATATCTCACTGCAAAAGATCGTGACCTCAAACTTGGCAATTAAATCGTTTATTTAATATTAACACAAAATACACAAAAATATAGTAACAGAACAAATCGTAAAATATTAATAAATTATAACAGTGGTGCGGCATATGTAGGTCTCTGAATGGCAAATCTTTGGGAAATGGATAAGGCATGCAAGAACGATGGTAACGACATCGACAAAAAACGTCCCTATCAAACGCTTCTGAGATCTTCAACCCATTTCTCACACCTCTTTTCCACTTCCACCTTCCCCTTCTTTAAAAAGAAATCCAAAATGGTCTCTTGGGAGCTTATATTCATTTTGAGACGAGCGGAAGGAAAATTCATATTTAGAAATAGAAGGTATCTTTTTTATCCCTCTCACTTATGGGGTACTCTACTATTATTCCGTGATGTTTTCTAATGTCTTTTTAACTCTTGTCTCTCTTATTTTCTTGGTACTCTCGCTAGGAAAGAGATATGCATGTGCAGGTCCGATGCGAATGATCTGCTCATATTTGCAGTTACCTTCGCTGTTTGGCGATAACTGGTGCAGTCAGGAAAGACTTTGAACCTGTAAAAGGACCAGTGATATGTGGACTTAGGCGATGAAATAAGAAATGATTTCTATTACTATCGAATATCGAAGATGGTATCAGATTGCACAGCTTGTAAATATCTTATCTTAGCCAGTTTAACCAGTAATGGCGAATGTGCTAGAAGAAGAAGTGATTAGCCAAAAATCATGATAAATTGTTCGGAAAAGTTTCAATCCAGCATAAATTTAAATTTACAACATATCGCTATGCATCAAAGGGCATCAAACCATTTGCCAATGGAAATAGCGAGTCCAAAAATGGTGTTAAAGGAAGAAAAGAAAGTGAATAGTAATTTATTTGCTAAATCAAATTTGCTAAATCAAACTAAATCAAACTTCTAAAACCATATTCTAAGTGGTCCTAAATCCAAATATCCTTATGCATATATATATTTATATTTGTAATATATAAAATATATTTCTTTCTTTTAAAAACAGTAGTGGAATCAATAATAATCAAGAGCAGCAAAATATTTGCTTGAAGTTTAAAAAATAAAAATATTTAGCAGATCAAAAAGTGGTACCAAAGGCTGAATTTACTATCGAAGAGTGGGTTGTTTTTGCTAGGACGTTCCGATAATACATGCTAGTCCGAAACCCTAGTGGGATTTTTTGTTTGCTCTTTTTTTTCAAGCACACGGATTATTACGCTTCACAACGATAATTTATATAACGTGCAATTCGGATGTAAAAAAAGAGTATATTAAACATAAAAGTATTAAAAGTATTTTAAAAAATATTAAGCAAGAAATGGTTAATTAATGAGAAAAAAAATGAAATCAGTATAAGAAGCCCTGAATGCAATGTACACCACTTTAATAAACGAAGCTATTATTTCAATTTATAATCACTTTATCACTAACATTGTTTCAGTAGCACTTCGGATTTAATCAGTCGATCAGTTTTGCATTGGAAGACGTTATGTTCGATAGAGAGTTTTAGGAGTCTTTTAAGTCTTATAGAATGTTATGTTATGAATATGTTTAAAAATTAGGCCTTTGGTCTTTTTCCTTTAGAATGGCAACTAAAGTGAAAATTAACATTTTAATATTTAACATTTTAATAATATTTAGTTAAGAAATGTAAAAATTCTATTGAATTTAAATGATAATTTTTTTTTTCGATTTTCTTGCTTCTTCGAAATTCGTTTAAAATTCATTATTTAAGAAAAAAAACAAACTCTAACATTTTTTCTAAATAATCTACGCGGTTTAGCGAAGCATTTCATTAGATTTCTTTATGCGTTCACATTTATCTGAAGTGTAAAACGCGAGTTTTTTTTATCATTTTTTGTTTTTTATAATTTAGTAACATTTCAAAATGGAACTTTAAAAAAACGCTAATTTATTGCTTATTTTTTAATTTAAAAAGATAAAAAATTGATAAATAAGTCAATTGAAACTTATAAATTATGTTTTTAATTCGATTTTATATTTATAGAAATAAAAGGACGATGAAAAAAACTGTTCCGTAATTTGATTACTTACGACACTAAAACGAGCAGTTTTTTTAGACTCAGACAGTTGCTGTAAATCCTCTCAATAAATTATCATATAGGAATGTAATAGGCGGAGTAGGAGATCAAAAATAACCCGATTAGCCTGAGGTCCAATTTCATTTTCGTCTATACTAGTTGAATGAAATGATTATATTTTACGAACTCATTGTCGTTACTTCAATATCGCTCTTCACTATCGCTATTGGTTTGCATTATGTTAAGAATTTCTTTTTCCATTGCTTTTATAAAATACGCTACCTCCATGAGTCGTGAAGTCATTTCTTATGAAGGAAAATGTAGAATAACTTCGAATAACACGGTAAGGTGGAAGATGAATGACCGTTGCTTGGATTGAGGATTCAAGCATTATGGATTATGAGTTTCGTTAGCTAAATTAAATCTATCGGTAAAATATAATTGAGTGCAGTTAATCCACCCTCTTCCACCCAGTTTTCAATTTCAATTATGATTGTTTGCCTTAATTGTTAATTTGGACAATTTAGTTCCTTTTACAACTGAACAACTTTCGTACAGGTGAATTTCCTCTGGAATATTACTAATTAATTCAAATATTAAGAAATATTTTAATTGAACCAATCACTGATACGAATTTTTTTATAGAACCAATTACTTGTGCGAAACTCGCCAGAAAAAATACTAAAAATGGAGTCGAAATTGCAGAGGTTATTGCAAAATTTTAACAAAACTTTTATAAAACCTGTTTCGATCAATTCAAGATCAAATCTATGTAAAATTTGGTGAAATGGCCTTTACGTGTTCTCACAGCTCTCACCATGGTTGGGCCGGCTGCGCTTCCTATAAGGATAAGACATATCCAAGCCAGTCGATGCCATGCCTTATATTAGAAGCCAATTGTTTTCACACAATCTAAACCCATATATCGCTTGTTCATTAAAGTATCTTCTGGTATCTATCCGTCCAAGATTGGTCCTTTGCTTTTACTCTATCCAACACATGATGACAACTAGTAAGATATGTCAATTCCTGCGATACATGGCGACGCTTTATGTCAATATTTTCAATTCAGGTATTGAATGTAGGTATTTAAGGTGGATGCAATCATGCAGCTTGAAGAATTAGTGGAATTTATTAGATATGATTGGTCAAAGGTGGATAGCTTTTCACTATCTTCCACTCTTATTAGCCATTAGCTATATATCATAACAATAGAATGGTGAGCATTCCAGCCAGATAAATGCAAACTTACGATTTTTATCGCGATTTCACGATTCCATTGAAGTTTTGCTAGATAAAATTCTAGCTGCGATTGTCTACGCTGGAGTTTTATCTTTGGCTTGACTATTTGGATCGGAAGCATTTAAAATTTGCCATTTCCTCAAATCAGTACCTGGTTCATAAGACGAAGAGATTTTCGTCGCATTCACATTGATCTTGAGTGCTATGTTCAATATTGTTTACCATCTCTCGCATTTCTTCATAATCGTCAGCAAAAAAGACTAAGCCATCAGCGTTTTTCAAGATCTGTGATAAAATACTCTGGATTCGCCTTTTGAATGCAGGCAGCGGTATCCACAACTTAGTCTGGTTTGATAATTGCATTAGATCCGAAGTGAGGAAAACGGCAAGTAGGTGTTTGTCCACAAGATGTTTGCATAAATTGTGGGCGATTATCGTCTGGCTCCTGATATCCATGAGTGTCCTGACGTTCTAAGCTGCTATGGGCAGGACCTCGTCTTGCAAAGAACAAAGCAGACTGACAGTTGTTCATCTCCATTAAATAATCTAGCAGTCATCTTGGCTCGAGAGCTTATTTCATTCCTTAATCTCAGAACCATTTTACAACGCCACTTATTGCATTTGTATCGAGTTTGGGGCATCATACGCATCGCTGTATCAACAGGTTTATTCACAATAAAGTCATTTGAGGATACAAGTGGCTCCCTTGCTCATACTTTAATTTTCTGGCATCCCCCTTACACCCTTTATCTCTGAAATTGTGAGAGTTAATAGATAGAAGAGCTGTTATATGAACTATTATAGTATTAATAAAGGAAAAAACAAAAAGTTCAATAAAATAAATAAAGAAGGTTGAATTATCGCTCTTTAATGAACAGCGAGATTATGCAGAAACTTATGAAAATTTTGAAAATAATTTAGAAATAAAATCGGAAATTTTTTGTTGAAACGACCACTCGTTGACAAATTTTCAAAAATTAATTAAATAATGAGAAAAATAAAAAATATTTACAATTTTTTGTACCAAAATAAATAGCACGGATTCAGGAATTAGTGCTTTGCGTTCGCATGCATAACAATACCGCTTTTATTGGCGTTGAACCATTTGAGAAAATCGAATTATTCTCAGCGAGTGAATGTCGACAACGATGCATTGAAATGTATCCAAAATGTGTCGCTGGTTAGCATTTTAATCAACTCTTCGACTTAAAATTTCATGCATAAAATATCTAAAATTATCACATGAAAATTGAAATATTTATGACTAATGAATAAATTTTTATCTTCTCAAATTGATATCATCAAATTTTTTACTTCTCAAATTTAATTTAATTATTTTAATTTTAGTTATGTTTTATTATTTACGGCGTGGCCGTTCAAGTCATATTTGCTATTTGTTCGACAAAAATAGTGTAAGCCGTGATGTAAGCTTTTTTTCGTTGATAATTATTATCAGTTAATTTTGGATTTTAAAATTCAATGAGGAAAAATATTTTTTACAGGAGATATCGCATGAACGAATGGTTCGATGTAAAAAAAAAATTCTTGATTATTTTTCTTTTGAATATTTCTTTTAAATAAGTTCCAAAAAATGTTATTTAGGTAGCACTGATAACGGAAAAACCAATGAAACCATTTGATAAAATTCGAGCTTTAGAAATGGTAATTGACTGCCATGAATTCGATCCATTTCCACCAATTTCCGATGATTTTGCCACATCGACTGACCAAGTCAGCAAAAAAAAACGAGGTTTGTGTTCCTTGAACTTATATTTTTAGTGAAAAGAAAATTTGAAAATTTGGTAGTAAAAGACAGAACAGCTAGAATGTAAATGTATTTTTGTCAATATTATCAAAATAGAGTAAAAATCTATATTTTATTTTCAATGAGAGGTTTTTTCCCAATATGGCACAAAAACACAGATAAATGATAAATGCCATTAATGAGGATTCGTTAGGATTCGGATTCGTTAGAATGCCATTTTGCATCACAAATTTGCTATACATGTCAATAAATAATTTCTATAGATGCTGGATACAACCGAACGGTGATAACTACCGGACCATGGTCGGATTGGTCAAATTGCACTAACGAATCAGGTTTTTCAAAACTTCCATCTTTCGATAAATTTTGATTTTTTCTGAATTTTCGCCTTTTTCTCTGATAGTTTTTTTAAAGATATTAAAATTAATAATTTTAATTCAAATAATTTTAATAGGGAAAAGCTTTTGCAACAATTTATCAACTAGCAAATGGCAAATTTTTCGAAGAACTTTTTTTTCTACTTTTTTGCGAATTTAGTTTATCGAATACGCTCACAACCTTGTGAATATGGTCGTTATGTTGAACGAAGGCTTTGCAACCAAGCATCTAAACATTTACTCCTCACTCCGTGTATCGTTCTGCTGGTACCATATCCACCTTTTCCCTATGCTCATCCACATTATAATACGTAATTCTTAAATATCAATTTGCTTTAAAATTCTTCTTATAGTATTATTATTCTAAATTACTAAAGAAATTAAAGTGTCGCTCGGAAGATTGCTGTGAAATTTTCTGTTTTAAAGATTATAGGATAATTTTGAAATAAGCGATGAAATACTGTCGATCTTTCTATAATATATTCAACAGGATTGCATACAATGCAATAATGGAGCAGCATTATGAATATTTCTACCGTTCCTGCTGTTATTGGCAAAATTTCAGTCAGCAGAGCACGGAGTTGGAACAGAAGGATGCTTCTCGGGTAACTTGAAGCTTAAAATTTGAAGAATGGTGGTGTTTTTGTAAGATTTATATCGAATAAAAATCTAGATCAATACGACTTTTGGTGGAACACCAGGATGCTTTATACCTTGTCAATCACCACAAATCGCAGAACCTATCCAATCTGCTGAGGTTACACGATCTGCATGGCCTACCCAATCCGTTCAAGTTACACAATTCGGTCAGCCTACAGAGTTCGATCGATCTACACAGTTTGTTTATACTACACCATTTATTCAGTCTACACAAATCATTGAACCCACACGACTTTTCGGAACTGCTTCGATCATACAATCTGTAAAGCCTGTTCATCCAGGTTCACTGCAAGTCAACATTGAATCAGGTTGGTTAATTTTTTGTGGAAAATAATGAAATAATTATTATAAACAGATAACTAAGAAAAAACGAAAAGGAAAAGGAAGGAAATATATATATATATATATGTCGATTAAAAGATTGGATTATTAAATGTAAATGTAAATGTAAATTCTAAAAAATTAAAATTAAAAAATGTAAATGTAACTAAAATTGAAAAAAATGTAAATTGTAAACTTGAGCAGAAGCAAAAGACAGCCTTTTAAAAAATTTGTTAAGAAGATACAAAGTTAAGCTCGCACCGGAGTATGCTGATGGAATTTGAAGTTTGCTATAAGTTCTGAATAGCTAAATAGCAATTAGGCAAATTAGGGTATAAAGGATTCTATTTTAAGTGATTGAAGTCAATTAATTAGGAGAATTTTACAGTATGGTCCATTTGGTCTGAGTGGTCAGTTTGTTCATCATCTTGTGGAAGTGGAACAGAACGAAGGTACAGAAAATGTGAGACACATTTCTGCGATGGGGAGTTCACTGAAACGCGTCCATGCTTTGGAGAACTACCATGTAATACTTGGTCACTTTGGAATGAATGGTCTTCTTGTAGAGGTCTAATTTTTTTCTTTTTAATTTTTCTTGCCATCACATTTCCTGTGATAGTTATTAGATATTTATGCTTCAAAAAACAGTTTCAGCTACATGCGGTATCGCTGACCGAGTTAGATCTCGTTTTTGCCATCTCGGTAGAGGAAGATGTGATGGTCCTGATTATGAGGTACTTTTACTTGATGTAAACTTGATTCACTTAATAGTGACACCAAGTTTGAAATCTTACCATAGCATATGGCATAGAAAAGTGATATTGGTGAAGAAGAAATGATTTTAGGGTAATAATAATGATCTTATATTAATACATCATATAATAATATTCTAATTTTGGTTCAATTTATATTTTAAGGAAATACACTTATAACCTTGCAAATTCCTTGCTCTAAAATTATTTTTTCTAATTTACTAGTTAAAGCTGAAAAACATTTTTATTAGTTGGGAATCTGCAATGCAGGACTTTGCCCGGAATGGTCCACTTGGGAAGGATGGTCTCAATGTTCAGTAACTTGTGGAGTTGGTGTTCAAAGGCGTGAACGCATTTGTCAAGGGAATCACTGCCAAGGTAAATGTGATGGAAAATTTTCGATTTATTCTAATAATTTTAGTGTTTTAGGAGATCAGTTTGAAGAAGAAAATTGTTACGGTGATGCTGATGAATGCTTATCAACATGGGCTGAATGGCAGGAATGGTCGCACTGCTCAGTTTCTTGTGGACGTGGCACGATAACTCGTACCCGTGTTTGCCTCGGTTTTCACTGCATTGGTGTATATTTCTGGCATTATTTTAAAATTTATTTAATTTTTATGGCTTTTGTGCTGAAAAATATTAGCGGCTATTTGTCATATTTTTCGTTTCATTAATTGATCAAGTTAAATTCTCAGGAGAAACCATCGAAGAAGAAACGTGTGAACAGGAATATTGTCCACAGTGGTCTCATTGGGGAAGTTGGTCGGTATGTTCTGCGACATGTGGTTATGGCACACAGTTGAGATCGAGAGTATGCTCTGGTTCTTTTTGTCCAGGTTTCTATTTCAGATTATTCTTACATTTGTTTTTTTTTCTCTGAGGTGGCTCTGAAGGGAAATGGGAAATGATTCAAAAAATTACAAACTAATCAGCGCTGTTAACCTTAAATCTAGCTTAAAATTTATGCACCTTCATCAGGTAATCGAGTGGAGGAAATAAGATGTGACGCACAAACTTGCGCTACTTGGTCAGAATGGCATTCTTGGTCACAATGCTCAGTCACGTGTGGTGGTTATGGAATCCAAAATCGCTTTAGGAATTGCCTATTTGGTGTAGATTGTGATGGAAATGATGAGGTAAGAAAATTAATTTAGAATTTGGTCAAATTATTGAGTTAAAATTAAAAATGAGATAAGTAGTTGGATAAAATTATGAAAATTATTCATTGCAATTATTACTGAATAAAATCGGTAGATTTATTTCTTCTCGTATCATCTCGTATTAAAAGCATTTAGGAGAGCCGATTGTGTGTATTGAATATTCCTTGTACTCAGTGGAGTAATTGGGCTGAATGGTCAAGATGTGATAAGGAATGCGGTCCAGGACAAAGAAGTCGCGAACGCCAATGTGTGACTACAGATGGATCATCTATAGATGAATGTTATGGCGACAAAGAAGTATAAACTTTCTGCTAGCTTAGGATTAATTCTTCCACATTTGCATATTCTTTAAGGTTTTTGAACTGTCTAATAATCTATGGAATAAGAAAAGAAAGAGTTGTGGTCACCTTTTATCTGTCATAGAATCCTTTGGTATTTTGTTGGGAGGTAAACTTTTCCCGTTAGCTCTTTTCATCCGAAAATATGCATAGATAAAGAAAATTGTTCAAACTCTAAATGTATTCTCAAATTAGAGATAAATTTCTTGATTTTCTTTTTTTATAAAAAATTTAGTAATATTAAGGATTTTATCTATTTATAATTTTCTCTTAATTCTTCTCTTAATTCTCTTAATTCTGTTCAACTTGAAAGCTGGAATTTTGTCTTCTACAAGGATATCGGCTATTCAATAATTCATCCCATGAGATCCATTCAACCAGTTCACTATGATATTAGCAAATTAATAAATCTCAGAGTACAGATTTTCTCAGAGTATAAAAACATTATTTCGAAAATTATTTTCATTATGTTAGACAGCGTTTTTTAGCAATTCACTCTCTGTAACGAACGGCCATGTTGTGAATGGAATGAATGGTCTCAATGGAGCGTTTGTGATCGTTCCTGTGGTGGTGGTCATATGATGAGATCTCGCGACTGTCAACATTTTGAATCCGGTTCAATATTTATTTCCTTGCGAATACGTTACATATATCATTTCAACTTACGGTTTGAAAAAAAAAGTCGGTTCTGCCATTAGACTTGTTTGTTTCAGCAGATATCAACAACGATACATGCGAGTGTCATGGTCTGACATACCAAACAGCTGAATGTAATACTTACCCATGTCCAGTCTCAGAATACCCGGATGTGCCAATTGGTGAAGGAATACATGTTCTTCCTGTGGACACTGAACTTGGTCAAAAGGAAGAAAAGTCTAATATCCTAGAAATACCTAACATAACTCATAAAATTTCTACACCAAAATGTCAGTGGAGTGAATGGTCGAGTTGTGGAGGAAGCGCTTGTGATAATGGATTCGCTAAGCGTTCCAGGCAAGTTTTCTTTCCTGAATAATTTCTCTAGTTGCATGGAAATTACATTTTTAAGGAGATTTTTTCTCGTGGCGCTTCCAGTATTATTTTAAAACAAAATAAAGAAAACACGGCAAAATGAATAAATAAACCAAGAGAAACTTTTTATAACAAATTTAATGCTCACTGAATAATAAACATAATAATTAGCATGCATTTAAGCAATCTTACGGTTTTTGTTTTATGCAGCATTAATGCATTATTCACTGGCATACAGCATTCTTGGTTTGGCTAATTCCAGTGACCACTATGATGAAAATCCTCTGCCAGAGAATAATCTGAAAATATTTGGCACAGTCGATTCTTCATCAGCAATCTTTATTTCATTGCTAGTGACTGATTTTGTACTGTTAGAAAGTAGTAATTACTCAAATTTGAAATTTTTAAGCTATGGAAAAAACTAAATTTTTCCTTTTCAATTCATAGTATTACCATACCATATCTAAACTTTTAATTTTAATTTTAGACAATGCCTTGGTGGATTGGCCTGTATTTGTTATGGACTTGTTTTTGAACAGATGCCATGTAAATTACAACCTTTATGCATTTTGCGTTCGAAGCGAAACTCTAGAAAAAATGCATGAAAAATTTTTATGATGAGATTAGTTCATAATTTTGCTTAAATGTTTTATAATTCATAAACAATTTTTAATAAAATTTTTCATTCCATTTGATAAAATTGTTGACTGATAATAAGAATTTTTAATAAATACCATATATCTTTTCTGTTTTTCAGCAGCGAAAAATCTAAAAAATAAATTTTTGATATTTTAATTTATTGGGTTATTAAGTTGGAAATTTTCTGAATTATTTTTATGCTTATGAAACAGACAGTTATAATTATTTATAAATGGCACCAGAAATTTTGGCAAGAATTTAGAAGTGAAAAAGCAATTTCACGAATTTGTTATAAATACTCGTAGAGAACTATAGCCGCAAAAAGAAAGATGGGCAAGTTAGAAATAGTAATAAAAAGTAACATGGCAAGCCTATTTTATTTTAGGCTAATTAGCTTTTAGCTTATGCTTAATATTAATTTTTTCCAAGGGCGAAATGACTCAGTTTCTACTTGAAAAACCTCACTGTGCGCTGAGAACAAATTGAAATTGTTTTAAAATTTAAAATTTAAAAAATTTTTCGCCTTCGAAACTTAGAAATTCTTAGGTTAATGAAAGGTCAGCAGGGTCAGAGTGGCTTATTTTAAATCTATAAACTCATTCATGGATAAAAAATTCTCTATAAATTGGTAATTCCCTTAATAATTTTTCTTTACGCGTTTTCCTTTTTATTGAGTCATTCACTATTTTTATTGTTTATTAATGGATCGCATTTCGAGCTAAAAATTTTATTGAAAATTAATGAAAGAAAGTAATTTTAAAAAATTTATGAAAATAATTTGAGAGAAGACCTCTCTCTCCGTTCAAAACTCTCCTTTGACTTCTTAATTCAATCATAATTATGAATAATTTTACTGACTATTATCGCTCGTCACCTAATATCATTGAAAATTACCTTTCTATTGAAGCAATTATTTCCCGAAGACGAAGGAGTTTGGTGGCAATAATGATAGTAATAATAATAATAATTATGATGTCGACAACTTGTTCTTCAATCGTAAAATAAATTAATTGAAAATTTTTGTCGAAATGCTTCGAAATGGTTTATTCGAAAAATGTTTAGGACAATCAATTATTTATTGCTCACACAATTTTCATGCATTTCAAACGATAATTGTCGGCAAGATTTGGCAGTTATTATGATAAATTTTTTATTTTGTGCAATTTATTAATAAGAAAAACCGTATTTTTAATTTTTAAGTTCACATTTTTCACATTTTCACATTTTTTTCTTCTAAGAGTTTCTAGCACTACACAAGATTTAGCTGGCTCTGTTTGAGAATACAAGTAAAACAATCTGATCCTGCACCCTACCAAAAATTAATTGAAGCTCGTCCTTTTTGCATTACCTGAGTCCATATGTGCTAAGTCACCTATGATACCGAAATCCTTACTGAAAGGTTTAACATAATCGAGAATAAGAAATTCGCGAATTTTCCTATCATGAACGAAAAAGAATATGGCCTAAGAGGCGAACATTCCTCAGTGATGTACTCAGTACAGGTTCTATTTCAGTGCAAGTGGATCCTGTGTGAGATCCTACCAATGCAGCAAGTTCAAATGATATACTTAAACCAGATTTGCTCAAAAGTAGATAGCTTTCTCATATCTTCCACTCTCACTGACCATGTTTCACATCTGCAAAAAAGGATTAATTAATGCAACTGCCAGATCAATTCGGTATTGCGAGAGCTTTCAAAGAATATGGCCTAACAGGTGAAGTAAAATACTTCAAGCTGAGGCAATCTTTTCTTAAAATTGTGCTATTTGTTTCCATTGAAAAAATTCGAAATCAAATTTGAAACGATAGTATGAAAAAAATTTGAGATTTTATAAACACGAAGTATACTTTTTCTTTATAAGGACAACAGTAGCAACAAAAATTTATCCAAGTACAGAGATGCATTCATTCGTTATACACTCGTCGCTAATTTTCTTCTCGATAGCTCGAGCCATTGTTGGCTTAGCTCGATGCACGAACGAGTAGGGTAGCGTTTCCAAAGCTTCTAATTCGATGCCAACGAGAAATTAACGAGAAGCTGAACAAAATTTATTAAGCAAAAATCTGAATATTTTTCACTAAAATTCCAAATTTTTCAAATTATTGGCACAAATGGCTTCTCATAACGCTTATATCACTTATAGCACTTTCACCAAGAATGTTACAATATAATAAATATTAATCAAATTTTCCATGTAAAAAAAAGTTATTGTTTCAGTTAAGAGAAAGTAATGATGTTTGCACAACAACAAAGGATAGTTTCGTCTTTGGCATTCCACAAGAAACGATCGAGCAAATGTTTTTCAATGCAAATTCGGAAGATTAATTGCTTACTGATGTGAATAATGACTGTTTGTAGTTCTTCAATTTACAACAATTTTCCATTTCACTTTGTAATTATATATAAAAGCGCTGAAACAATTATTCGGATGCTTTTTTTGTGTCCGATGCAATTATTCAATTCATCCAGAAAGCGCCACGATAACAACGCAGCAATAACAATTTCGTATGACACTTAAAGAAGGGATTGTTTTCGATCCAACAACTGAATATTTTTTTTATTGAGTTTTATTTTCCAGCAAAGTAAGCCTTTAAGTATCCCTTAAAGTAATATTTTTATCTCAAAACTTGTAAAATTCTAGTAAAATAATTTTTATAAATATATATTTAAAAAGAGAATGGCCCGGTAGGTGGCTGGTTGCTCTCATTTTGGGAAGGTCAAAGTTAGGGTT